GAGGCATGAACTGTCTCACTTACTGTAGCCTGGACTCTAATCTCTCTCTCTTCAGTTCCTTTTCTTAGTTGCTACCAAACCTCTGAAAATAGCTATGATGGGAGGCTGATGATGGAATGAAAGAGGATATGTGAGATTACTGAGATAAATTTAATAAATAAGTTCATATGCTTAGCTATACAAATTAAGACTTACCATACTCAAGTGTGTGGTTAGTGTTCAGCAGAGCTCCGCAGTCATTAACCTATATCTTTTTTGTTCTTAACTTGCTGGTTTTGAACACACAAGTAGCTGTATCTCATTCAGATTTCCAGAGAACGGAGTGCAATCTTGTTGCGGATGAAGTGTTTTCTGATGATAAGGTTGTTTTGGGGATTTTCTGGTTTTTTGTTTGTTTGTTTTTTTTGTGGCCCCAGCCCCACTGTGAGCTGTTAATGCTGCAAACTGTCCTGTAAAAATTCTTAGGGCAGATGATCTCCATGTTTCAGAAAATTATGCTGGAGACGGGTGCTGCAGTGTACTGCTGTTTTCCTAATAAAATCATTTTTATCCTATCTGTTTCCAGCTTTAATTATTTTCCAAATTTAGGTTATCGGCCATCCATATTTTTTTCTATTTAACCTCACTCAGCTAACCAAAATTTGTTAACAACAGTAATGATGAATTGCACAGGGACACAGCTGGACTCTGAGGGGCGTAAGATACTTGCCTCGAGTTTCACAAGCAGGCAGGTTTATTTCTTTTTGTCATAGTTTTCTCTCCAACTTGTAAGTTATGTTCTTTGAGGGCCTGCTTGTGCTTCTGATGCTGGAAATTGTTTGCTTTTCGCTACATTCTTAACATGTTGAGAGAAACGTACTCATCTGATTTGTATTTCAGTGCATTTGTATGGCAGATACAGAATAAGAAGTGCAATTGTCTTAACATCCAAATCAGCAAAATACAATTTAAAAACTGATCATTTAAGTATTTTCTTTGAAAGATGTTCATTATCATTTCATAGATTTGCATTCTTATTGTTTCAGCTGTTTTTTTTATTTTTTTTCTTTAAAAAACATACTAGAATGAAATAACTTGCATGCTAGCTACACCAGGACAAATTATATGGGCATGGTATAACAAATAGATGTAGCATGTTTCCTGCCATATTATCTCTTTTCTAACTGTCAGAAACTGCGATACTAAAGCTTTGATTACATCCAGGTTTGATTTATGTGTTGTGCTTATGAAATGGAGACCAGTATTGCAGCATATAATTAGCTTTGGGTAAGGTTATAATTCTCCACGCATAAGCAGTGTGCCTTCCTATTTTTGCTTTATTAAGGAACTTAAAGATATGTAATTTTCCTTTTTCTTCGATGTTGTACCAGTTCTTCATTGAATTTGAATAGAAATGTCTGCTAAACAGTAGTAACAGTGATACTGCATACATAATTATACTCATATTTTTTTCTTAATAGATGTTGAAGTTATTTTTCTTAGGAAAAAAATATAACTGAAAGTTTCATTGAATTTGTTTTTCAAAATCCAGTTACAGAATAATCTTAGGAAGATGTGTGATCAGGTCCAATCCACTGCTATTGTTGGCAGCTAGAGCCTAATCTCCTTCTTAACCTGATAAAGCTTAGTCTTAAAATTAGCTACATTTTTGTCCTTGTACTCTTACAGGAAGGTTGTTCTAAGGTCTCGTGCCAACGTGGTTCTAGTGATGATGATGGTGTTTCATAGGTGTTAACTGACAGCTTGTTTTGATCACTGTGAGGTGGCCTAGCTATCCTATATGCTATCTTGTCTTGATAAATCTATATAACTTGTTGGAAAGAGCAAATGTAGGGGAGAAGGGAAGAAGAGACAACTTGCTTACTTCTGTGCTATCAGTAGTCTGGGAGGAGTGGGGGAAAAGACTTAATTCCTGGCTGACCTCATATAACAGGCTCCGTGAGACCTAGGTTGATTATGGCTCATTGCACAACCTTACTGTGGGCATCCTATTTTTCGATTTATTTTAAAATATTCGTAATCATTACATGCTTCATGTTCTCACTATAAAAGTTGTTAAAGCACAGATTAGTAAGTAAAACCAGATGTTTTTTACTATAGATACTGATACAATGAATTTACATAATATCATACATATTATGAAAGAAAAACAGTGGCTTTCTATACTCTAGTAACTAAGGATTTTTAAATAGTGTTGTTTTTAGCTTTTTTTTTTTGTCTTTTTATCATTCCTATCATTAATATTGTGATTTCAAAATACCACATGGGGGAAAAAAAAAACCTAATGCGAACTTGTAGTTAATCTTTAAATATTGTCATATTCAATAGTTTATAGAAATATTATGGAATATATTATGAAATAATGTTTATGACATGGATTGACAGAATAATTCTGTGAAAAAGTTCCAAGTGAACTTAGAAAATAGCAATTTCTGAAGTCCAGTTATTTGAAAATCATTCTTTTCAAAATCTGCTTAATGGTGATTTAGGGCAAGAGTACATCAAACTTGGCCATATTGTTTCTTAAATATCAAGTAGCTAAAAATTTCTGAGTAAGATTTAAAACAGAAACAAACAGTTATTAGAAATGCCTTTGAAGAAAAATAGTAATACGTAGTTGATCTGACGTAGTGTATTGAAAATAGAAAATCTGATCAGAGAAGTAATAAATCAAGGTACAGAAGTTGTAACTGCGCGTCTGTTTGAAGATATTTTGTCAGAACTGAAATGAGTTGCTGGCTTCAACAGTTGTCAGGTAATATGGGAGAACAGTGTCAGCTTGTTAATTTCAATGTCGTTTAGACCTTGATTTTCAGATGTAATATTCTGTCCTGTGTGTTTTAGATAAAGTATACATGAATGTTACATTTAGGGATATGTTTTAGTGTTTAGAGATTGAGGCTACAATACTCTTCAGTTTATCCTTTCAGATTCTTTGGAGGATATGTCTTTGTAAAGAACTTAGTCTCATAGTGAAAATTTACCTGCAGTTAAGTGACCAGAAGTAAGATCAACATTAATATCACTGCAAGAAAAACATTAGTTTTATGTCTTGAATTTTATAGCTCTGAACTTCAGTGACACGTTATGGTGGTTTTATGCTAGGATTACCATTTACTATCACTTCATTTATCTCTTAGCTGGTTTTACGTTTTGTATTTATGTCTAGTCAGTTAAACACAGGGGCCAGTAATTCATCTCCAGTAATGCAAATAAAACATTTTATATATGCCTTAAAGATATCTCTTTTGGACTGATCGACTCAAATGCCTTATTAGCATCCAATGCTTGAATAAAAATTCAATATTTTTATTAGTACTTTGATATCATGGTAGCTAAGTCATGGCTTGAAGCAGTGATTGAGCGCCTGGTGGGAAGGCAGGGCAAATGGGGGGGGCTCAGTGGTGTGCAATGTGTCTGAGTGACCAGAAGGGATGGAGCCAGAATCCACCCCTTCCCAGACTTCATTTAAGGGTTGGCAGGCGAGGCAAAGGGATCTTGTTGGAGATCTTTGTGTAGCTTCCAAGGGTAAGCAGGTTCTTTCCTTTGTTTCTGTGTGCATGGCTGCCACGTTTGCATATATCCTCGCTTGCTGCAGCCTGGGATTTTGCTTCTATACTACCATTACTGTGCTTTCCATTGCGCTGTGGCGTTACAATGTGCCAAGTGGATTTTTGGTTGACTGCATGCTGTGTTATTTATGAAACGTAAATAACTGATGTATGCTTTGAACACCAACGTACCTCAGTTACTGCTGAACTAATAAAGCTATATACCATATGAAATCTTGAATAATGTGCCCTTATAAAGAGGCAGAGCAGTCTGAAACCAGCTTTCCTAAATATGCTGGTATTAATATACTCAAAGCTGTGGTTTTTAGGTTGTGAAAAACAGTAATAATGGTCTGTGACTAAATGACAAAGAAGTGCATATGATTCATTAAACAAGGATGTTGTTGAACATTTCAGTTGTTTGAATTGATGTATCTTATGTAGACCTCATGTAAATCTGATGTAGTTTGATATTGCATAGAATTGCACACTTTACATTGTTTATGATTGATGTGAAGTCTTTGAAGTCTGGGATAATTTCAGCAGTATGGTGGGAAGCTTCTTTTTGTTCTTATGTACGTCCCTGTTGAACTGGAGGGCTATATAACTCCAGGTGACCTTTTATTAATCTGGGAGTGCTATTTTCCATAAATGCATTGGGTGTCTTGATTTTAATTTTTCTGTGGTTTGGTGCTTTGCCCTTGAGTATGATGGTTCCCCAGTAAGAGGTTGGAAAGAAGAGACGTAGCTGTTTCTCTTCCCTGCTGTGTATCTGAGGACTTAACATGCTTACCTGATTGTCTTCATGAAAACTGCATGCTTCAGTAGAACTGGTACTGATACTGAGTTGCATACTGGTGTTAGGAGGGAATTCAGCTTTTTTGAGACAATAGGTAATGTTGACCACAAACTGGGAGTTAATATTTGGCATTTCAGACTTATTTTCTTTTTTTCTTGATAGAACAGTTCAGGCTCTTGTAATTATTCTATTGATAGCTTTGGAGAAACAATTCAGACTAGAAAGATGCAGGTGGTCTGGGTGCTGGATTAGTAAATTGCGATTGTGTGGTTCTCAAGGATCTCTCATTATGATGTGAATAACACAATTTTTCTTCATGGTGAAGTCTGACATGAAATTTACTGTAGAAGGAATAGTCAGAAATATGAAGCTACGCTGAGGGAGAGGAAAGCAGCAGATGCATTCTGATGAATTAGTGAAAATTAGGCTTCCTAGATTTCCCGGCCACTGCTGGTGACTGTAGCTGAGCCCTTCAGGCTCTGTACACTGCAGTGAAGATGCAGTGTTTGTTTGTTTTTTGTTTTAATGTTGTTAAGCAAAAGATGTTCAGCATTTACAGTCATTGTGGCTGCTTCTCCCTCTGCCAGCTGAAAGCACTCTCTCTGTGTAACCAAAGCACGTCACACCACGTGACTTAATTTATATTTTAATGCTAGCTCTTGTGCACTGAACCACTCTTCTTACAGACAGTATATTTAGGGGAAAAAGACAAATTGTTATGGGAGACTAATAAGAATGATTCAAACAGTACCTCATTTTCAGAGCTTGGAAGCACCTAAAATCAAGCTTGAAGCACTAACCTGCTTTAGTTTAACATACTGGAGGATACAGTCTACTGATAGTGCTGATTTCTTTTTCAGTTCAGAATCCAATATATGGATAACATTTATATTGCTGCTAAAAGTATTTCAGACAATATATTTGAGTTTAAAGCTTTATTAGGGAATTATGTGACAGAGTTCTGATCTGATCTTTTGTTAGCTTGTAGTTTTCAGTCAATTTTAGCATGGAACTCGTTGTACTTGCAGGTGTTCAGATTCTGTATTTTTAACTTCCACATTCAATCATGGCTTGGATGACTTACATTTCCCACTGGTTTGATGAAGATGATTGGTATGCAGGACAGCAACGAGTAAGAATTGCTTAAATTAATATTTTTCTTCTTTTGGTTTTGTTTCTCTTTAAGCTTCTGTTTATTATGTAACTAGTATCAATGTTTCTATGGTGGTGCAAGTTTGAATTGGGTTCTATATAATATATAACATCTAAACTGTTTTTTATTTGAAAATTAATGTTTCTAGATGGGTAAATGATATTAGAAGTTAAGAGATGTTTACATTTTTTTTTGCATAATTTAATTGATAGAATTCTTTAATAAGATAGAAATCGAGTATTCAAACTTACATTAATTCCTTGTGATACAATACTGTGCATGGAAAATCTAATTAGAGGTGTTAATTGAATAAAACAGCAAAAAATTTGGGAGATAAGAAATTCACCTACGGTCATCTCCAAGTTTTACTTTGGATATTGGTGTTGTGTTTTTTTTTTCCTGACGTTTTTCTGAAGAGAAGGTGTGGTTACTATAGCAACATCTGCTGGGTAGCCTGGAATTTTTTCATAACTGCATGCCTTGGGCAAGATTGATCTACATCTTTCATAGATTTAGGGTGAGAAATGAATATCAGCTTTCTTCAACTATATCAAGTTGTTTTACATAATTATGTGTAATTTCTATTTCTCATTTTAATGGTGTATTCTCAGCTATTGAATCAGAATGTAGGTGATGCTACTGAAACACAAACGGCTGCAGCTTTTAAAACCTTCTCATGTATTGCCTGCTAATATCATTTATATGCTCATGAATATTAAAAAAAGGTGGATCCTAATACTTCTTGCACTATTCTAACATTACATGTGACTTCTGCCTTAGACTGTCTCAGAAGTGGAATAATCTTTTAGTAGTTGCTCATCAGAGACTCACTGAGATGTACTAGAGGTAACACCTTGGCACTTAGCCAGCACAAAAGCTGTCTAGTGATTTTGGGGATTTTTGGATTGCAAGATGAGATTCTTATGGAGAATGTTAGATGTTTTATGCTGAGGTAATGAGAAGTACATAAAACCACATTATATAATGTATCTGAAAGTTCAAGTTCTGGTACTAGATGGACGGTCAATACCTTTAGTTTTGCTACCAGTTATGTATGACGTCTCAAGTTGATTGTATGTACTTCAAGGTTCTTGATGATGTATTGTTAGAAGTACCAGATTTAGTCTGTTTCAAACTGTAGTATTTCTATTTAGATTGCCTTGTTGAAATCACACTTTCAAAGATATATTTTAGTGAAGTTGTACTAGTAGTGTATTAAGGAAGTCAAGAATGCTTCTTTGCAAGACTTCCCTCCAGCTTAGATTTTTGTAATGTTAATTATTACTGTTACGTTTTCAACATCTTAATGTTTTTGTTTTCAGTTTCAAGTAAGAGTTTGTTTCTGCTTTAATATTCTTACTATTGTGTTCCTAAGAAGTTTTTCTGTATTGTGGAAGATTGCAATTATAATTTCAAATATTATTTATGAAAATGTTATCCTCAAAGATGTTTTCATAAATAATCAAGGTGTCTGAATTAAAAATATAACAACTCCTATCTAATTTCTGAATGCCTTGCCTTGAAACTAGCGTGTAGGTTACCTTGAATATCATTTATATACTTATAAAGAAAAGCATTTGATTAAAATTGTTTCAAAGATTCTTTTGTATTACTGCATATCCTTAGAATCGTGTCATCAGAGATGGGCAAAAATACCAGCTTGCAGGAGGATAATTTTAACAAAAATTACACATATTATTATGTAATAGCCTGTAAGTGAGCGATTAGGGGAACAAGTGAATGGAACAATCTCTGTATTTGCTGAGCTGGCACCATTAAGGATGGTAATATTTTTTTTTCCTTTTCTCCCCGCTTTCTATCTTAATGTTTTCCAGGAAGTGAAAATGAGCTTTGTGAAGAGGCTTGGTTGGTTGTTTCTGTATTTATCTGAGGCTTCTGATTCCTTTGCCCTATACCCTAAAGTCACTGCTTGTACCATGAAATCCAATGTTATGGGGCAGAATGCACTTTCAGTCTTTAAATCCAGACTTAACCAAACATCAGCCTGATGCAGAGTGTTTCTAGGACTTCTTCCCACGTGAAGTTCAGATGTGCTGTAGTGAAATCAGTTCTACTAGTATTTCAGCTCTGGGTATATTGTGGAGGTTTAAAATAGCTGTGAAAACTAGGAGAACACTGTTCTTTTAAAATATTTTTTTCTTTAAGTGTTCTTTTCAAAGTCAGTGTCCAGATAATCGAATGATTAACAAGTCTAAAACGAGTGCAAAGTTAGAGAACTTGCAGTCAGTGTTTGCAGCTGATGCGTCTGGTCAAAGCTTCTGCTGTTCTTGAAGAGTGGTGCTGAAATTCGAAGCCTTTTTCAACTGCAGTGCACTGAAAGTGGAACTCTACCTCTGGGTCTTCTTCTGGTACCCCAGGTGCAATGCGTGTACTATGAATTGTGTACAGAAGTAGAAAGAAATATCTGCTTTTTTTTTTTTTTAAGAGAAGCATGCAAGCTGTCTGTGCTGGTCAGTGGTAAGCTAGCAATCAATCTGACATTTTAAGGAGTAGTCATATAGCTAGGTTAAATCCTGCTGAGAAGTGTGAAGTGCTAACTTCTTTTAACAGCATGTCTCGCTCCAATTTATAGGAGGGAGATGAGGTTCTTTTAATATCTGTATACTGGCATGAGATCAAGAAACAACGGATAATTATCCTCCTTTGTCACTGTAGTGATTTTCTGTAGGCAGTTTTAGCTCATCTTTTTCTGAGAAGCATTCACTTTGAAGCAGTGCACATACATCCTCAGTAAGACTGTTTACAGACCTACGTTAGCAACTACAGTTTGATTGTATCAAGAATTAAGTTCTTCAGGATTCTGTGGTACTCCCTGCAAAGCAGGAAGGATTTTTATTTGAAGGTAACAGCTCAAATGACATCAATATCAGTTCTAGTTTTAAGCACTTAGCTCTGACCAATAACATGGCCCTCTATTCTTTGTTTCTAACTTCTTTTTTTATGAATCTGCCTAAATCCATGGTAAGTGATCTTTGATAATATTCATCAATTTGTCATTTTCATAGTGTAAGATTTCTTCTGTGTGCTTTCTTTTACTTTTAAAGTTCTCCAAATGTATAAATTAAGAAACGCCAATTACATTTTAATCTTAGGGATATAAAATTGTGCAAAATACTGATTCATGCAGGTAAGCATTCACAAGTATTTCCCTACTTTATGAACACAGTATAAAATTTAGTAAATGTACCAGCTTCTTAAATGCTTCAGAAAGGATAATTTATTTAAGTTTTGGGGAGATTTTATTGCTCTGTTTAGTCTTAGGTTTAATTTGTCTGTTTACTTTTAAGTTGCACGTGTAATAGAATATTTCCAGATATGCTTTATTTGATGGGACTGGGCAGATTACTAGCTGTAACTTAATTTCTTAACGTGACTATAATGTGCTTGGTGTTTTGTAGCCACTTTGGAAGAGTGCTGCTTAATATTAAGGCAAACACAGAGAGGAGGTAGTTTGGTTTCTGCAGGCATGGAGACTACTTGTTTTGAAAATCTCCATGTTTTTAACCAGAAGAATTTTGTCTGTTCTCTGATGTTTCAAACTGGTCTGATTAGATAGGGGAGTAGAAGTGAAACTCTAAGGCTTGGAGTTCACATTTCATCTCCAATAGTTTTTCCCCAAATCTGGCGTGTTCTTAAGGAAACTTGGTCTCCTTGAAGTAAGTCATCTTAAAGTAGATCTTTAATTATTATATTCTCATTGACCTTGGAGCAATAGTATGGATGAAAGACAATATCTGTATATCAAACCTACAGCTGTGACAGCAAGCTTTTCTCATAAGGAAATGTACAAACTTAACTGGAAGACAGTAAGAATAGAAGCAGGGGACACTGAGACCTTAGTATAAATAAGGGTTCAGAAAACAGGCTTTTGATATATACAGAAGCATACTGATTAATAAAATGTTGTATACTCACTTCTGTGTGCATGCCACATTGTGAATATACATTTGCTAATGGTATTAGTATATGATAGAGGTTGGTGCTTGATGGTTATGCATTTATGGAAAAAAAAAACCCATGCAAGCACATATAATAAAAGGTGCTAAATGTTTGATCTAAACAGCTATTATTAAATAAATATTGTTGTACAGTCAGAAAAAAACAACAATGAAGTAAATTGAGTAGCTGAAGCAGAGAAAGAGGGATAATGCTGAAATTGATTTCGTGCCTGTTAAAGACCTGCAGTTGCTAGGCTACTGACACTGCCATTGTGTGAGTGTTGTGCAACACAACGCTCGGTCTTTTTTCCTGCATTCCTTAGTAACTGCATTGTTACCAGAACGTCAAGGTTTAGTTCCTTCACTGTCAAGTGAAGTCATTTTATTCTACAATCAGAACAAGATTGTGCATTTTGACAGCAGCAAAATCTTGGAATGATCGTGGAAACTCTTAAGTGGTTTGCAAAATATGGTTCTTAGGCTAAGGTAGGAATTACCTTATATAGCCATGTCTATGTATCTAGTACATCCAAATGTTATTTTTAAATAATATTAATTCTATGATGACCAGAATTGCAGTTTAGTGTTTTCCCCCCTATATTTAGCAACTTGAAATGTTGTTGCTGCTCATACCAATTGGGTTTTTGTTGTTGTCCTCCCTCTTTCCCTCATCTCCTTGGAAACTGTGGGCATCCTTTATTAGATTTCTGTGGGCAGTATATGTTTTTACACACGCAGTTTTTTTCAGTGTGTACACTTCAGGGTCCAATATAACTACTCGGATATCATTTATTTTGATACAATATATATATTTTTAACAAAGGATGCATTTTTCAACAGTGTAAAATTTGTATCATGTGAAGTAATACGTAATACTAATTTATGTTGCATTCGGTAGTTTTCACCAGATTGCTAAGGTGAATACTGCTTTTTTTTTTTTCCCCTCATATTACAAGCATGTTCAGCAGAAATCTGTAATGTCTGAAAAACAATCTGTAGTAAATCATCTTTGGTACATGATGCTTGTGAGAGACATAGTCAATGTCACAATTGCAATTTCTTCTCCCAAGTACAAAAACAATAGAATTAACAAGATACGTATGCTTTGAAAAGAAGCATAATTGTAAAGGATTATGGAATTGCTTACAGGAAGTTTAGAGTGCTTTCTACAATGCAGCTTAAGATATCTGACATAAGTAATGTAGTTTGTTTTTCTGTGGGTTGGTGTTTTTACACTAGGAAAAAAACTGTACCAGAAATTGAAGTTTATAGTGCTTTTTAGGCATAAACTGTGAAATGATAGAATATCACAAAACAACACTTGCCATTCATGTGATAATCTTATTTAAAGGATGCTTTTATTAGGGTATCAGACCTTAAGAAGAAAAGTACAGGATCACTCATACGTGAGATGCTCCAGTCACTTAGTCGTCTTAATAGCCTTATGTCCAGGTCTCTCTTGAAACGGGGAGCCCGGAACAGAATGCAGTTGTCAAAGTGTGTGGCCTCACCAATGCTGGGTGGAGAGGAAGGATCGCTTCCTTTGAGCTGCTGGTAGCACTTGTGATGCAGTCTAGATCTTTTAGCCTCCTCTGCCACAAGGGCATGGTCTTAGTATTAATTCATTTCATTGATGTATGTACAAGGAGAGTTCTAAAATTCTGTTGATACGTTAAGTAAGTATTTATACTTCAAGTGAATGTCTCCTTAGTGATATGTCTTGATCTTCCTATTTGGGATTTTTAAATTTTATTCTTGTAAGCAAGTGGTTGTGCTTAATACATAACAAAATTTGTGCCTAAATTATTTTGTTGCTTTCATATCTAGTAAAAGAGAACTTTGGAATTTTTTTTTCATAATGACTTTTTCAAATTTGCTTTGGTCTGTAAAGGTAATTGTGTAGAAATTATGCCCGAAAATAGTTCATCCACAGTGACACAGTTGCATTTCTGAATCATATGTATAAATAAAAATCTGAAGGTGAACTAACCTTTGATTACTAGTAACTTCCTCAGAAGTGTGAGGCTAGTGCCTATTCTGCTATTAGGATATGTGCATGGAGTACTTTGTAGTTTTTCTGTTGATAACTATAGCCCTACTACCCATAAATAAGCTTCTAAATGACTTACCAGGCTTTGTTTTCTACAAGAGAAATAAAAAAAAAGAAAAAATCTGCAAGCCCTATTTTTTAATCCAAATGAGTCTTAATGTGAAGTGACTAGCAATAGCAAACCCATCCTAATATGTTGTTTTTGTTGAAAGTGTTTGTATCATACAACCTGTTATATTTTGTCTTAGAAGTACTTAATATGTTGAATGTTTGCACTGATGAAAAAGTGTTTTAAGGGTAGTGCTGCACTTTAACAATCTGTCACTCTTACAAGTGAGAATGAAGCTCATTATAACATAAAATTGAGAATAAAGTATGTTAAAGTAATTTGGAGGGAGGAGTAAACTTTAGCAAGCAATACCTTTACAGATGTTTGCATTCTCGGTATGTAAATAGATCATAGAAAAATGACCAAGCTCTTGTTCTATCTAGGCAGCCTTTTGATATATAATCATTAATCAAATATTGAGCTAGATGTGTAACTGATCTGGCTCAGCAGAGCACTTCTGTTCTTATGTTAAAGTCAGCTATCCTCTCAATCTGAGTGGAGAAAGCAGTTTGAGATTCCTTTTGTAATATTGTTTCTCATATACGTGCATATATTTTCCTCTGGCATTTGTTTTCCAAGGACCTTTTCTGTTACAGCTTTTAAATACTGTGCAAATGATTATTTTCCTCATACACAGTAGAGGAAATGTGTAGTTAGAGTGACTGACTTTGTGCAGACATGTAATGCTAGTTAGCAGAGGTGATCTAGAGGAAAATCTTGTTTCAGACACTGGAGTCATAGATTGCTAAACAGTAGTACAGTAGTGCTGTAGTGAACTTTGCTTTTTATTTTCCTCAACTCACAGTAGTTAAGGAAACTTAGCTTCTCTTGAAAGCATGGTGATGTTAAGTAATTCATACTTATACTAAGCTAGTGGTATAGAATCACATAGGTTGGAAAAGACCCCTAGGATCATCCAGTCCAACCCATGCCCACTAAACCACGTCCCTCAGTGCCACCTCTGCACATTTCTTGAACACCTCCTTGAGCTGAGCAGTCTGTTTCAATGTATTACTGTGCTTTCTGAGCATTTTCTTTGTCTCCAACCTGAACCTTCCCTGGAAGAACAATTTATGGCAATTACCTCTTGTCTGATCTGTAGTTTTGTGGGAGAAGAGGCCCAGCACAACCTCCTTTCAGGCAGTTGTAAACTGTAATAAGGTATTCCCTGGGCCTCCTTTCTCCAGAGTAAACAGTCCCATCTCCCCCAGCCGGTCCCTGTAAGACTTGTGCTCCAAACACCTCATGGCTCCACTGCCCTTCTCTGGTCATTCTGGTGCAGGTTTCGATGTCTTTCTTGCAATGAGGCACCCAAACACAGTAGGTGTTCAGTTTGAGGTGCAGCTTCACCAGTGCTGCGTACAGGAGAATGATTACTTCCCTGCTCCTGCTGGCAGTGCAGTTTCTGAAACAAGCCAGGATGCCATTGGCCACCTTAGCCACATGGATACACTGCTTGCTTGTGTTCAGCTGGCTGCCAACATCCCCAGATCCTTCGTTTGTTGTTTGACATAACACACAAGTGTTGCACATGGTTTATTTTGTCCAGATGCCTCTGTGGGTAATGAAAAAGGAACAGCAGAGATGACATTATGCTTTGATTTAGAAAGTGTTAAAATCTGACTACAGAGGAAAGTGAAGAACAGCTTCAGCTTGTGCAACTCAAGAATGATTCATATTTTCATTCACTGTTTCCAACTTCCCCATATCCCACAGCTCTAAGAGATTCTTACGAGGGGCATCGAAATCCCCTCCTTTTGTAATGCTGAGAGAGCCTGTGAACAAAATGAATAAATTATTTATGGAAACAGAGAGGTGTTGGTCTGTTCTGTAACATGTTTTCATGTTGTATTTTAATGATTTTCTGTCTTAAAGGCAAAAATGTCACATGTTAGACAAGTGGGTCTTCTAGCTGCTGGATGTCAGCCATGGAACAAGGATGTTTGTGCTGCTAGTGGGGATAGATTTGCCTACTGTGCTACACTTGCTATTTATGTATATCAGGTAAGACTTCTTATTTAACAGACCAGTTGTTTGTTTGTTTGTTTTTAACATTACTGTCTATATCACTTTGAGCCCATTCAGTATATTTTTGTTTGGAAGCATGATTGCTGCTGAGAAGGTACCTGTGTAGTACTCAACCTCCTATTCAAGATACCTTTTCCAAATTATTTTTTCTGCTAGTTAGAATAGGTGCAAAAAATTTATTTAAATGCTGTGTTTGAAGTTGTATGTGTCCAGAATTATTTGCGTAAAAAAAAAAAAAAAAAAAAAAAAAAAAACTCAATACAGCAAATGCCTGAGATGAATGAAGTGCACTAATAGAACAGGTTTTGAGAGAGAACTGAAGAAATTACATGATTTCTTTGAAATGTAAAAGTAATCTTTTAAGGTAGCTTTAATCTGTTCTTGGGAACTTTGGACATGGGTCTGTGGAGTTGTGAATTCCTTGGCCCGCCTTTCTTTTGTTTGGTACAAGCTTTTACTTCCACTGCTTCTGAACTGCAGAGCAGCGTGGTCTTTTAGAATTCCCAGTTGCTGTACACCAACGAATAAAAAATGTAAATACTGTCATGTGGAATGTTCAGACTGAGAAATACTGCAGGATAAGCTTATTTTAACTGTGCAAGTTAAACTGATGGTGGAAGTAGAATAAAAATTTGTGTAGAGTTTAGGAGAAATTTCATACTCATTTTTCTATTCTGTCATTTGTGGATTACCTATAAAGAATGTACTTTAGAGTCGTTACGTGAAAATTGAGCGCAATTATTAAAGGAATATAATTGTAAGTGAAAATAGTAACTTACGTTAATACTGTACTACTAAATATTCAATCAGTACTGCTGATTGAATATTTGATGACTTTTCAGTGTAAGTTAAACACGTAATTTAATTTATTGAGATATCAAGTAGTCAATAGTTAAATCCATCATAGTTCCATCTATAAGCCTGAACTGTTATCCCGCTCAATAATATTTAAGGTGAATTTTCAAAATATTTATTTCTGAAATGGATTTTGACTTTTTGTTTAGCTGGATCACCGATACAATGAATTCAAGCTCCGAGCAATTATGTCTGAGCATAAGAGGACAATCACAGCCATATCTTGGTGTCCACACAATCCTGACATGTTTGCAAGTGCCAGCGCAGATAATTTAGTAATAATTTGGAATGTGACTGAACAGAAAGTCGTGGCCAAACTGGATGATACAAAAGGTATTTCAGATGTGGAGATGCTTGTTCCATACAGCTTTTCTCAACAAAAAATAAAATGAAAAAAAATGAACAAAAAGTTCAAAACAGTTCAAAAAGAAAGAATAAAGTACTTGACCAATTCTGGAATTTGTTGCCACTGATTTCTAGCTGAGCAGAAACAAACACTTTTATCCTTATAAAAAGGATTAATAGTTAAGATTTAAACCTTAGATCATATGTTTTCATGGTAACCTTATGAAAATGAAAGCAAATAATGTAGCACTCAACAGATCCAAATAGAAAATATCCATGAATTTGAAAGACGGTTTTTATTGAAATATTGTAATGCTTGTCCAACTGCATAATATCTCAGAACTTAAAACTACTGATTAGGAGAGTGTAGTAGACATCTAGAGAGTTAAATGTCTAGACCTGTCAACTTTTCTTGCTCAGTTCTAGTTCTGAATCATTCAGTCAAAACCACCTGGTTATGTTTTTGTTACCAAACAGTTTGTTGGCCGTGTTTGACTCCTGCATTTACATTCTTGGAAAATAGATGCTGCCTGTGAACAGTCAGTATCTCAAGTTCTTCCAGGATACTTTTGGACTTGCTACTCTCTACTGAAGAGAGTATTTAGGATACCTTTTGAGTATCTTCTATGTCTTGCATACGCTGCAGAAGGAATAAATAGAGAAGCACACAATGATTTGGTCTAATCAAAACAGAATATTGGCTCCAGTTATGCAGCAATGTAAAAACTGATCCTGCTTCAACCAAGTAACATTTTTTCTAATTTTAAATTTTCTAAAAATCATTTTATTTTTAGGATAATCTGTTTAAACCTCCTGATAATGTGGTAGTAACAAAGACAGCAAAAGTATCATTTAAATGTCCAAATTGGAAAAGTTATGAATTTTCAGCTTGAGGAGAGTTTGTCTTGTTGTTCACCCCTTCAGACACTCATTAAATTGTAAGGATAATTAGTGTTGGAGTTGCTAAGTTTGAAATCCTTAACCTGCTGACCTATTGGTAGGTGTTAGTGACTGAATTAAAACTGCCAGATGTCCAAAGGTAAATATTAAGAAACTGCTTTAATTTCCAGTTTAGTCACAATAATGTCTTTTATCTTTAAATTTCATTGTGTTTTGCGAAAATAGAAATTGTAAGCTAGCATTTACTATGTTGTTATTCACTTTTGCAAACAGCTTACAAAAAAAAATAAAATAGTAGAGAATAGAATGGTGAATGTAAGAAAGGAATGCTTTATAGGATCAAGCCTGTTCTCCTTCCTCGTGTGTGTGATTGTTCTTGGCACTAATGAAATCAAGTACAGCTATCATAAATTACAGCCCATCAAAGTAGCATTAAGATAATTTGAGAAGTATTTCTACTTTCTAGATATATGTAGTTTATTTTCACACCATAAGGTGTTCCTACGGTTTTTTTAAATTTCAATCTAATAATTTGTGTATAAGAATAATTGTACAGGTGTTCAAGATTATTGCTGATACTGGGCCTGACAGTAATGCACTGTATTTCAAATCCTTATTCTGTATGTTTCAGGAATTCCTTTGTCACTTAACTGGTGCTGTGATGAAGATGATGCAGTTGCATTTGTGTCCCACAGAGGTCCCTTGTACATCTGGACTATCTCAGGACCTTTCAACGTGGTAACGGCACATGAAGGAGCACATAGTTTCTTGTCAGATATCTGTCTGTTTAGGTGGCATCCAAGAAGAAAAGGGAAAGTAGTCTTTGGACATTCTGATGGAAGTCTATCTATTTTTCAGCCAGGTAAAAACTGATATGGTAAAACATGTATATGTTTCTGTTGTGTATGTATGTTTTTATATGCATGTAATTCTGCTCTTTTTTCATTCAGATTTTGATGAATGCATGCACACATTCAGAACTTATACTATATCTACTTCTTGCATATCACAAAAATTACTTAAATGAAAAGCATACAACTTTTTTTGTTTGTTTGTTTTTGCCTTTTGTGATAACACTGAGATTTTTGACCAGTTACTGAATGAGAGCAGACACAAAATTATGCTGAACTCTTTCCCAGTAATTTTTTTATTCTGCGTAGACCAGTTCAAATTTTTCAGTAGTCTCTTACTTCGCTTCTGTTGTTTTAGAGTTCTGTCTTTTTTGTCAGGCTTCCTATAAGCCTGATCTTGAGAACCTCTTTTACTCATGGTAGTTATTGGAACAATGTATATTCTTTCAATATAAATTGATTAATCATAGTAACAGCTGTTCCTGTTTTTCGCTTATTAAAAAAAGTAGTCATCTGCAGAACTACTTTAGGTTAGGTATTGCAAAGTCAACTTTCTTGAGTTCAGTGCAGCAAACAAAAGAGCAGACTATGAACAATTTCAGGGGGAGGCAAAAGTGAAATTAGCAAAGTATTCAAAGGACATATTTGTTACCACGTTGAAATAATCTGTATTCTTGTGCTCTTAAAGGGTTTCGAAACCAGAAGCATGTCTTAAGACCAGAGCCTCTTCAAGGAGCAGATGAAGAAGATCCAGTTACAGCACTGGAGTGGGACCCTTTGTCCAATAACTATCTTCTTGTTGCTAATTTACATAATGGCATTCAACTGGTTGATTCGGAATCTGCGTTCTGTCTCGTAAAATTTAATGTTCCCAATGTAGCAGTATCTGTTCGGTGTTTAGCCTGGGTTCCTGGTGCTCCTGGAATGTTTATAACTGGAGGTAAGCCTTTTATTTCCCAATTTGTGGAAAAGTGATAAATTTAGCATTTAGTTTTCAAAACTGATATCAGAGGTTTGATCTCTGCTGCTTAACATCTCTACAAACAGAAGAGTATATATTATACGAAAAAGCCCCCTCAAGTATCTGTGTGGAAAAGAATAGAAAACTGTGCTGAACAGTGTACGTATTTACATGGAAGTGACTTCTAACTGCTGTTGCTAAATATTTTCCTTATGCAGACTTCAGCAATAATACTGAAGTTACTTGGGAATAAGAAGTGTTGTGCTAGTGTGCATCACTTACTCCTCTGCTTTCTCTGTTTTTTTGGGGGGAGTTTATCATTGTTTTTAAACTATTTCCTGCCTCTTTCTTATACCTTAAAAATTAGTGTCAAGGCAGAAGAACCAGTGAGTAAGGAAAGTTAAACTTTGAGAACGCTTTATAACAGGAATTCTGTAGAGTATGTTTGCTGTATTTTAAATAATTAATATGACTAATTACTGTTTTTAATAGTGAAATTATGGTAGAGGTGTCTGTACTTGCCTACAAGGTTTTTTAGGATCCTAAGTTCTAATTCATTGGTTTTGGTTTTCTTTGCTTCTCTTTGTCCTTAAACAGAATCACAGACTGAGCTGGGTTGAAAAGGACCAATGATCATTTAATTTCAGTGCCCTTGTTATGTGCCTATTGTTATGTGTTATGTTGCCAACCGCTAGACCAGGCCCAGAGCCACATCCAGCCTGGCGTCGAATGCCTCCAGGGATGGGGCATCCATAACCTTCCTGGGCAACCTGTTCCAGTGTGTCACCACCCCCTGAGTGAAAAACTTCCTCCCAGTATCTAACCTATACCTTTCCTGTCTTAGTTTAAAACCATTCCCCCTTGTCTTATCACTATCCACCCTTGTAAACAGTTGTTTCCCTTCCTATTTATATGTTCCTTTAAAGTATTAGAAGGCCACAACGAGGATCTCCCTGGATCTATCTCTTTTCCAAGTTAAACAAGCCCAGTTCCCTCAACATTCTTCGTAGGAGAGGTGCTTCAGCCCTCTCATTACCTTTAGACCTGGACCTGTTCCAAGAGCTCCATGTCCTTGTTGTGCTGGGGGGCACAGACACAGTACAGCAGATGGGGCCTCGCAAGAGCTGAGTAGAGGCAGACAATCACCTCCCTCTCCCTGCTGGCCACTCCTCTCTTAATGCAGCCCAGAACGCAGTTGACCTTCTAGGCTCCAAGCATACACTGCTGGCTTATGTCTAGCTTCTCATCCACCAGGACCCCCAGGTCCCTCTGCACAGGGCACATGAAAATAATGTACATGCAGTAAAACAGAGTAAGTAAAAACATGTTTTTATATTTGTAACTTCAGATTCTCACATTGGTATGTTACGTATTTGGAATGTTTCACGTTCGGCACCTATCGTTAATTTAAAATTGAAGAATTCTGGTTTCCATAGTTTGCATATGCTAAGTTCTCCTCCAAAGAAGAAGGGTAAGTGTACTTTTGATTGTTATTCATTATGATGCAAGCAAGTTAAGAGTATTTTTTGTGAATCTTGGCATAGTCAAGTCACTTTCTGAAATCTTGTGGTTGTTCTGTGGTTCTTAGTTAAACAGAGCATCCTCTCATGCCAGTGAATGGTTGTGTAAGGAATAAAACCCTTTATACTGTCCTTTAGCAGACCAGGCTTTGTACTCCCCTTTATATATACATATATATATATGTGTGTGTGTGTGTGTGTGTGTGTGTGTGTGTACACACATGTGCATATATGTATAAATAAAGTTTCTGGAATACAAATTTTCTCTATATAACTATTATTACATAAAAAATAGAAACACTTGTCTATTTTTCTTTTGTTAAGCATTCTTGTGTCCATCTCCTACTAAATATCCTCATACATCCTCAACAAGTGAGGCTGTTCCTCCTCCGACTTCATCACAAAAGCGAGCATTTTCTCTTCCTCCTGGCCATGTTGTCTGTTGTTTCATGGATGGTGGTGTTGGCCTTTATGACTTGGGAGCCAGAAAGTGGAATTTCCTTAGAGATTTGGTAAGTCACTTTTTTTCTGTTTTGAAATGATGTTTTGGCTTACCTAGCATGTTCTTATAACAGTAAATTTGTTGTCATTCAGAAATGAAGATTTAAGAGTTTTCTGGTTGGTGGTGATGAAGTTTGTTTGCTTGTTCTAATTGAAATATTATTGATACTTCATGAACTTCTAAGAAATATTACCTTTGGAGCTGCCCTCATATCAGCTTGTTTTGAGGGAGAAATTTGTGATTGGGTTCATTGCATATTAAGTGAACCTCTTTTTCCCTGATTGGTCCATTATTCAAAAGGATTTTTTTCTCCACTCAGTTTTCTTTGAAAACCTTAAATAGCTTGCAGGTGTACTCCAGTATGTGTTTGAATAGAGGCTTATGTTGTTTTCGCATTTAATTGATTTTTTTCTGTAAATCAAATGAGGCTTAAAAAATTTGTGTATATTATTTGCTTCTCATGTTCCTGTCAAATTAAATTCCACAAGAGTGTTTTAATCAGTTAAGATGGGAAAGTTCTGAAGGGTTGAAGTATAAACTGCAATATAGAAATGTCCGGTTTTAGAACATAGAAATCACTGGAATTCTAAAAAAAAGTTTTAGAATATAATCTACAGAACTGGACTATTTTGGTCAGATACTCTTTACCTGAAAGGTAACATTAATTTCTGTTTTAGTTTTCTCTTGCTTGTTTTTGTTTAGGTTTAGATTTTTTAATTATTGTTATCATCAATTCAATTCCAATGGACAATGCATCCCTGGCATTGCATCATCCTATTGTTTTAGGGTAACATTTCTCTGTTTTTAAAAATGTTCTTCAAAGGATAAAGTGTTATAGTCTTAGCTATTTTAATCCTTTCTTCTTTTAACTGAATAGTCAAAATGTGCAGAGGTTTTTGAACTCATAATTGGTCTAATTGCTTTTTAATAGAGCTGATTTTAGAGTTTACCTAGAGATGGACTTCTGGGGAAAAAACATCAAGTGTAATAAAAATGGATTCAACTTTTTTTTTTTCCTTAAAGGGACATACTGAGACCATCTTTGATTGTGAATTCAAACCTGATAACCCTGATCTTCTTGCTACAGCTTCATTTGATGGTACAATAAAAGTGTGGGACATAAATACTTTAACAGCGGTTTACACGTCCCCTGGTAAAGAGGGAGTTATTTATTCCATTTCGTGGGCTCCAGGTAAGAATATTTTGCTTAAGATATAAGATCTTGAGTCAGCATTGATTTGCAGCAATTTGTGTCACAAAAATACTCATTTTAGACAGAAGGGTATCTTAAAAGTTCTGAAATGTAATCAAAGTAATATATTTAAGCCTTGTAGAATCCAGTTCTTCAGTACCTGTTCAGATTTACCCGTGTGAGGAATGATCTCTGCATCTCATGTTAAGTCTGTAGGAAGGAAACGCTCCAGTTTTTCTAACGTTACGTTACAGAGGTGATGAAAAGGCTTCTTTTGCCTGGGAGGCAATTGTTTAGAAGTGTTCCAATTGTATTTTATGCTGAAGAAGTTGAATATGTGTGTTTAGTTCTGGCTCGTCCTTATGTGGTATTCTAATCACTGAGCAGTATATTAAAGACTGCTTTTTGGTTAAATACTGTTTTTTAGATGACACTGAAGTTGGTGGGAAATTTTGATGTTGGAACTGTTCTGCAACGTATTTAGCTGAATTAAAGAGAACATTTATGATAACTGATGTCAGTACTTGTTAACTAGGGTTTGTGTGACTGAATAGCAGATAGCAGATAAATAGCAGATAAAATTTTATTGATTTTTTTTTTTTTTCCTCAAGTTTAAATTCAACAGACTTTCCTATGAATTCAAACTCTTAACAAGAAATATTGTTATGGGAAGCTGAATGTAGCCTGTATAAATGAAATGAATTGGCACTTCGTATCAGAGCATCTCTTGCACCTTGTTCTTCACAGATGATTTGAATTGCTCTGTGTAAATTATAACAGTGTGAAAAAGGATGTTCCATCTTTCAGTTGTTTTGTTTTAAAATCTTTGCTAGTACAAACTGAAATTTTAAAAACACCTCACATAAAGAGAATAACTTGTTTGTGAGGGGGAGGAGTAGAATTGGTGCCTTTCAAGATTTGAATTCTGAATGATTAAAAATGCAAATTAGTACATTTAGGCTAATTGAAAGCATGTCCTTTAGCTTGTGTACTCTTTAGTTCCTTACACTTCATTGTTACCCATCTCCAACAGAACATCTTTCACATCCTTTACTCCTAGCAAGTTCCTCCCAACCTCTGTGCAATTGTTTAAGCTTCATTCATAAAATATACTCTAGTACTAAAATATACTCTAGTATTTGTCATTACTTGACTTTAGTCTCAAAAGAACTTCTATTTTTGTCCAACCAGAATTTCTTTCCATTCTGTATATGCACCTTTTATCTAGACTCCCCTTGTACAAATTGCCTTTTTTTTTTCTACATCGGGCATAGTCGTTCACTGTGGTGAGGAGAAGCTTTCCTGATTCTCACATTGGAGTCTTATGTTATTTCCCACTTCATAGAGTACGAGTACAGACTCAAGTACAGACTTGTTACATCAGGTGCTGCCTGGTGCAAGATTTAGGAGAACAAAAGAAGTGCAGCATTTTGCATGGTTTGTATTTGTACACAGGGAACTTCAGCAGCAAATGATCTACTTCAAGCTTGAAGCATTGAAGTTGTATGTGTTTCTCAGTTTGAGTGTTTTATCAAGATTTTATCAAGGTTTTATGCTTTTATCAAACGTTATTTTCTTGTTACTTTAACAGCAAAGCTTTCAACAGGCATTGAGAATACTTTTTTCAACTATACAACTTTTAGTTTACTCTTTGTTCAAAACAGGAATGTAGGAAAAAGTGTGAAACAGGTATTTACTACTTAATATCAAATACTGGCCTTAAAGTGTGGAAAAACTACTGGTTTTGTGCCATTGTTGATTTCACATTAATTGTGATAGCTTAAAAATGTCTTTCTCTAAAGGAGATCTGAACTGCATAGCAGCTGCAACATCCAGAAATGGTGGCTTCATCTGGGACATCCCAAGATGCAAAATAATAACACGATTCAGTGAGGTAAGATTATTTCCTTTTTGTCTATTGAATGTAAACTAGCTGTTCCCTCTAGTACCAAATAAATGTAGCAATTAAAAAAAAACAAACGTGAACAATAGCCTATAACAGAAACCAATGGAAAGAAAGATGTGAGTGCTAGTTTGTTTGTGAGACAAGTGAAGTCTTTTTTACTTCCTCTGATAAGGTTTGTAACCTGAGAATAGTGAAGAACCAGATAGTCTCCAGTATCTTAAAAGTGGTTCTGTAGTGATATATAGCAAAAGCAATGTGGCTTCTTTCTTAAAAGTGTAAATACATGTGGACATAGACTTCAAAACTGAGGATCAAAACATAAAATAGTGAGATGGTGTTCCAGATTTTGAAACATTAGACCTAGAAAAGAATTTCAGTTGCTGAAATCTAGACTAATAAAACTGCCTTTTGAAACATGCTAAAACATGTGGCTTATTTAGAATCTTGCCTTATGTTACCAGTAATCTGTACAGGTTTGTGTGTGTCCTGGGGCAATAGCTGAAAGAGCATGCAAGCGGCATGCAATGTTTTGTAGTTTTCTCTACTGTTTTTTGTATTCTCAATATATAGCTCTAGTCTTTGTGTTAGACATAGTTACCTGTGGCTACATCTGTGTCAGAGGAAAAGGCTGCTGTTTAAGAAGACAAATGTAGAAAAGAACATCTTTAATAAAATAAAGCAAACAATCATTCAAGAGTTCTAACACATCAGAAGATTGACACGTTGCTACTATTAAACAACTGTTTTGACCTCTGGTTCTGATGGACATCTCACTTAAGTTTTCACACTGACTCATTCTCACTAATTTTGGTATTTGATAAAGTAGCTAGCATTTGTTCAAGCTTCAGATTCATGAGCTGCTTATTCTTAATCCAATTTTGTTTTGTGTCCTGGAAACAAGGACAGTTTTACTACTGTCTGTGTCTCCCACTATGACTTTACACACCTGGGACATCATATGGTTTTGTACATTACACTTTAGTGGGAGAAAACGGCTGGAGCCCATAGGAGAGGGACAAAAAGCACGAGTCAGTAGATAAGAGAAAAGGGTGAGTTATTTCTTATTGATAGGTATTTTGCATTTTTTGAAGCATGGAAGGAATGGGATCTTCTGCATTGCCTGGAGTCATAAAGATTCCAAAAGAATAGCAACCTGCAGCGATGATGGATTTTGGTGAGTGTTACTGGAAGAAAAAAAAAAATTGCACATCTCAGCCAGTAGATTTTGACAACATCATCAGTGATAAATTTTAAAACCCTACTCACTGGACAAAATTTGGGATATACTAATCTCGTGTATTTGCTAGGATATATTTTTTATGATATAAAAAATTATAATGAAGGAAGTGTTTCCAAAAGGAATGGTGTCTGACATTTTGGTACTGAAACCTGTTTCATAAATTTTATTTAGCAAAGTGTATCTTTGTTTTTTTATCTGTAGGTAGAGCAGACACTGCTCAAAAGCTATTTCTTTGTCTTCATTTTTTTTGTTGTTTTTTTTTTAATTTTAAGAATCTCTATTATAGAACAAAAAAGTATTTCCAATTTTATTATTATAGAAGGGTAATAGTTTAGCAAAAACTATCAAATGCAAGGGAAGAATTTTTGTGTAATATGTTTCAGTACTTCTAAAAATCTTCCTTTCAGCTCTTTCTAATGTTTTTCTTTCAACCCTAGTCTAACAAGAAGAGGAGAAACTTCATATTCTATATAGAAATTAATTTTTTTAAAAAGATCTGTTCATACCTGTTTTATCACCATGACTTAGATTCTGGGCTGTAAGAATTCTTTAGGGATGGAGGTATCACAGTGTGAAAGCTTTATAGCTTCTCTGGAGGAATGTTTCATAGATGATGGAGTCCAATTAAATGTTTTGCTGGGAAATATATGGAACTGTACCTGAGGGGTAGGAGTAAAAGCTTCTTTCTGTATGCTTTTGATGCTGTGTGTTTATTTGCATAGAATCAAAGCTGACTTTTGAATAGCATACTCATAATATTCTATTGTAATTGGTTTCAGTATTATTCGAACCATTGATGGCAAAGTTCTTCACAAGTACAAACATCCAGCTGCAGTGTTTGGCTGTGACTGGAGTCAAAACAACAAGTGAGTGGAAAATAACCCTGATAATTAATTTTATTTACTATTGAAATGGATTACCAGCAATGCCCAGAAAGCTAATTTTTTTTACAAAGGCTCCTTAATAGATTCCTAAAAAAGCTATCTTTAAACTAGAAGAAGGAAAAACAAATTGAGTATCATGCCATTTAATGGCAGACCTGTATGACAGGGCATTATGTAACCTGTTTTGGAAATGTATGTACTGCAATTAGACAAGGCATGAGGATCTCTTAAACTACTGTTGAACACCCTAGACATCCACTAGGGCATCATATTATGCCTGAGCCAATAAGTTCCTGTCTCTCAGATGGTAATTATTTCTAGGAAAACCATTACAGTCAAAATGCCTTTCAGTTCTGGCAGCTTCTATGGTACTGCATTATATAATAGAATCATGCTGTTAGATCCTTCTCACAAAAACCTTAATATTTAACAAATTCATGATGCATTTCTGACACATGTCTAATTCTTGCCAATTGTCCAGTTCTGAGAATACTTTATGCTAGTATGATAGACATAAATATCCATAAACAGCTATAAACGAATTTGCATCTAGAGAATTGTGCCCGTTCTATGAAGTGTCATTAGAAGGAGCCCAATGTGTCTATGCTTTGAAGAGTAGCTGATAATTATTCTATAACTATAAATAATATAGCTGAATAAGAACCTTGTATCAATTAGAGGTCTTAAATTAATGATTTACATATTCAATTTGAAAGCAAAGATGAATCAAAGGAGAACATGAAGAAACTCTTCCATTAAGATGTTAAATGTTTGTACATCGTGCAATATTATAAACTGATAATAAGCATTGATTTAAAAAAAAACAGTATGGCAGCATTTACCCCAGTGACAAACAAAGTAGTATTTGAAAAACAGAATATATTGGTGTAAGACCTTTAAAATAACTAAAGAATTCTTTGCAAATACTTGAGTTCTAATTAATGTTGGAGTTCTCATGAGTGATTTTTAAAATAATGCTGTAGTAAGGCTGTTCTTTGCTTCTCCCCTGAATTTTATCAGATTGTTTCTTAGTGAGTTTCCCAATGTGCAGTTTGTTCTAATAGCACGTAAGAAATCTGCAAGAAGGGACAAGAAAGGGCTCTGTTGTAGGCCTTATCCTCCTTGAATACTTGTTCCACTCTCCCCTACTTTTTATGTTTTTAATTTTGAAACTTGGGTTTTGAGATAGATATGAACTCTCACAATCTATAGATTTCTTTCACATTCTTTTTTCTATTTCATTAAATCATAAAGCAGCAGTAATTCAATCTAGTAATAATTCTGAGTTCTGAATACGATATACTCACTATATTCAGAAGTGTTTGATTTAGACTCCTGTACAAACACTATTCTTCACCCTTTTTTTCTGATTTCATCTGTTTCATGAGGTTATTAGTAATGGCATTATAGAAAGACAAAAGGCAAACAAAAATAAATTATTTTTAAAAGTGAATTGCAAAATATGCATCATATTTATTTTTAAACTCCAAAATCATAAATACTTATGATTCCAGTGACTAATGATTTACAATTTTTATTTTGTAGAGACATGATAGCTACTGGTTGTGAGGATAAAAATGTTCGTGTTTATTACTTGGCAACTAGCTCTGATCAGCCACTGAAAGTTTTTACTGGACATACTGCAAAGGTGTTTCATGTACGGTGGTCTCCTTTGAGAGAAGGAATCCTCTGCAGTGGCTCTGATGATGGGTGTGTATTTCTGAACTATGAGAAGATCACAAAGGGCTGTCAAAATGACTTTTGAGCTCTGTGCTCTTGCTGCCACTGGCACTTTAAGAAGCTCTGGGAATAATACAGTCAGTCAGACCTCTCTGTAGGTCAGATTCAGAATGCTGGGCATTAACTCCAGCCTCTTTTGTAAAATCTTCACAAAAGTAATTATAAGTAAATATTCTGAAGCTTAAAATGTTGCTGCAGTAAGAGTCATTTCAGTAGATGACTTAACGACCATACGTCTTTTGTATCCTGTTTCAGTACTGTTCGAATATGGGATTACACACAGGATGCTTGTATAAATATTCTTAGTGGACATAGAGCTCCAGTACGAGGACTGATGTGGAATCCTGAAATTCCATACCTTCTAATATCTGGCAGTTGGGACTATTCAATTCAAATCTGGGACACAAGAGATGGAACGTGCTTGGACACTGTTTATGATCATGGAGCAGATGTATATGGTATTACTTAAAATATATTTTCTTTCTGTATTAAAATGAATTTTAAGTACTTGACCATGCTTTTAAATTCTATCTCTGCTAGGATTATCATGTCATCCTAGTCGACCATTTACTATGGCATCTTGCTCTCGTGACTCTACTGTGAGACTTTGGTCACTGACACCGCTTATAAATCCTCTACCAATAAATATCTTAGCAGATAGATGTTGGGATGAGGTTATTGGTAATATAGGTAAGTAAATTGCATGTGTAATTTTTTTTAATGTTATACACGTTACTGTACTTAAAATTACATATGCATATATAATTTATGAATCTTTATGTGCATTAGATCGTGCTGTAAAATCTGGTGCTCCTCCTTTGCTGTGTGGTAAAGTTTCCAGAGATATTAAGCAAGAAGTGGAAAAGATGATAGGAAATTCTCGAGAAGAAAAACTAAGGCGGTTTTCAGAATGTTTTTCTGTAAGTATTCTATGAACTTAAGGATCATTGCGACACCTTAAGGATGTTAGACAACATACTGTTGGCATTTTGTCCTGCTTTCTCCTCTGAAGTCAGCCTCCAGAACAAAAGCTTTTTGCTTCTACTGTTCTATTCTTTCTTACTTGAAGGGAACTCAAAAAACATGCAGAAATCAAATCTTTCTCTTAATAATTCTGCGTGTGAGAATGTGTGACTGAATTTGTACAGACCAAGCTTTCTTAAAGGGAAATAGATGGAACAGCTTAATTTTTCATAAGAATATGAATTAGACTTCTCTGAAGCAAATGAAAATACATTTTATATCAAACTACACTGAATTTTAATCTGCGAAAGGGTTGCTGGATAAGATTTAAACTACCAGAGTCTGTGTGGTACCAGACTTCTGGCAGCTGTAGATGCGAGCCACTTTTGCTTCGGTGTCCATCTGTTGACTTTTCTTTGTTGCAGAGTAGAATTTCCTATAAATCACTGTAGCTTTTTGGTGCAGTTGAGTTAAAATTACCAACTCTTGAATCTCTGTGAGCACTTAACCTGCATGGGAGCTGAAATTGAGGTAGAAAAAGGGCAAAAATGTCTTGGGATTACAGTTTGTATGAGATACTGATGTTCTTTAAATGAATATGCTGATCTGCAAAGACCAACTTCATGCAAAATATGTGTATGCTTTGATTTCTGGCTAAATTTTAGGATATGATGCTGAAACACTCTTCCTCAATTGCAAATCCTGAAATTTCCTGGCTGTTTCTTTAAAATGTTCTTATACAATTCCTTGTTTGATGAAAATGCTATATTTTGATGTCTTATGTTAATTCTAGAATACTAGAATTGTATACTATAGAATACTAAAGTTTTCAGAGAACAGCTTTTTCTCATCAGCTGTTCATTGGTTTTTAAGTCCAGCACCTGCTTAAACTACTGTGAGTAGATTCTTCTGGTTTTTACCAGCTCAAAAATAACAAGGCTTCTAAACATGTCATTTTTTTTATTCTTATAAAAGTTCCTTCATGTCAAAGGCTTAATGATTTTTTTTGTAAGCTTTGTAAGCTTTTCTAATTACTTATTCCCTTCAAGTGTTAATTCAGTATAAAGCCATCATCCTCCTTTTACAGAGGCAAATATTGAAATACTAGACCAGTGTAAATGCTTAAAATTTTAGGAAAAAAAAACTCAAAAAATATCACTGTAACTTGTAAGAACTTGTGTACTGATGCACCAGACTTTCTTAATGCAGACAACTGGATTTTGTGTTGAACCTGGGCTTGTTTTTTGTTTACCTGGCTCATGCATTTCTTCCACAAAAGGTAGTAAACAACTTCTTGGATATCCGTTGCAACTCAGCAGATACTGTTTTATGCCTGCACTAATTACAACATAGCTAGTATCCACTAGGAAAGAACAGAGGAAGATGATGAGCCTTCAGCTGTGACTATGCATAAGCAAATACTTAAATTCATGAATCTTATGGTATCTCCTGTCTTCAGAAATGAAGGGGTTTTATTATCTTGAATGTTGTTTTCATAGTAAATTTTCTAATTTTAAAACCGTCTGGAATTTTATTCCTTGGAATTGATTGGCAAGCATTTTTCAAGGTCTCAGCAAGTTTTGTTTCTCTTGAATATTATTGTAATACAACTTTCTTTTTCATCCATAACAACTTTAGCCTCCAGGAGGCAGCAAAAATTTGTGGAATTTAGTTGCTGTAATAAAAGGACAGGATGATAGTCTGCTTCCACAAAATTACTGCAAAGGAATTATGCATGTCAAACATCTTGTTAGATTTAGAATGGTAAGTGAAACATAAATGTTACGTGAAAAATGTTAATAATCTGTTTATTATTTCACATATATATAAATAGCATGTGATGTTTTATAAAAGGATCACAACTTTATGTGTGAAAATTATTGTGCAATTAGTTCTCTATGCAATACTGATCTGTTAGAACAGGGGCTTCTAGGTGAGTCTGTAGTGATTTGATAAATACTATATTAAAGTTCTAAGTTTTATTCTATACTCAGTAAAGTTAGTTTCTAATATAGAACCAAAGTTTATATGTGTCCATATGAGGGACAGGGATATTTATATGTGAAAGGTAGGGAAGAGGCAGCAGAAATAGGCTGTCTGGAAGGAGTGGAAAAGCAAGAACCTGTCGTTAATGGAAATGCATAGCTTTAGACTGATTCAGATACAAATGCAAAATTCCAGTACCAGGAATTATTTATATATGAATATGCAATCAAATGTACAATTTGTACAGAATATGAAGATATGTGGTTGTTTCAGGGACTTCTCAGGGAAGCTAAACAATCCTGTGTTCTAACGACTGAGTTGGAAATAGAGGAAAGTGATTTAATTGTGTGAATGAGGTCATGCTTAACTGCCACTTTAAAGAACTAAATACCCACTGGGTATTATGTGATGTTTGCTATTGCATGCTGTCTTTTTTGTGTAAGTCAGAAGACTCTTATTAAGGAGTAGCCTTATGTATCTTAAGGCTGTGGTGATAAAAAAAAAAAAAATTATTGCAGATGTTAACTGTGATTACAGCAACTACATCGTAACAAAGTAAGATAGTTTGGTTTGAAAATAAAACAAAAAACAAATAGTTTGCCTTTCTCAGCAGCTGACATTGCCATAGTAAACTGTAATGTAGACAAAAAACTGAAACTGCAAAGAATGGCCACAGTTTATTCAGTACTGTTGAAATATAAACATATAAAGAGCTGAAGGTGCTTTCATGTGCATTTACGGTAGAGCTCAAGAATTCAGGATATATAAAACGTGAAGTTTATTTTTGCTCTTTAATGTTTGTTGTGATCCTTTCGCAGCTTATTTCTCAGACTCTGCCAGATGGGGAAATTTGCTCTTACCTCTTAAACCAGAATAGAAATTGCAGTTGTTAGAAATATCAGTTAATTATTGGTCATATGGGTGTGACAGAACATTAAACCCACTGTCTTTATTCTTTCTTTATTTGGAAATCAGTAGAAGAACAATAACTATGACCTCCAGGAACATTTTAGATTCAAAATAGAGAGATGCTTGTAATGGACATTTAGGTGAGGTGATGTTAGATATGAGAGAATGGTTGAGAATGAACCAAAATATGTAAAAGATTGAAGGACATAGCAAGGAAAGTCTATGCTGTTCTGAGAAGAGTTTTTTCCTAAATTATCGCTTTTGTATTCCATTGCAATGTTTGACTATAATGCATTCTTCACAAAACTTGTTTTCATCATTGCAAACTAACTGAATTATTTCTTTTTTTCCTTTTTTTCATCAGTCTGAAGCGCATGAACTGACAGCAGTAAAAATGTCCAAGTTTGGAGGCGGTATTGGTGCACCAAGTACAAAGGAAACGCTTAAGGAGGCTGCAGAAATACATTTAAGATTAGGACAAGTTCAGCGGTATTGTGAACTGATGGTAGAGCTCGGAGAGGTAAAATATCAGAAAATTACTGAAAAGAATTAAATACAGAAGATTATGAAAACCATCTGGTATAGCAACAAAAGGCAAAATAAATCTTGAAAAGTGATCTTGCTCTAGTTAAATTGTTTTTAGCATACAAAGACTAATCTGTAGCTCATTACACTTTTAACATTTTGACAAATTTATTGTAATGGAAGAAATATAAAAAGTAATTAAAGATACAGCACTTTCCCGACGTACAATCATCAGGAAAAACATATTGCTGCTTTCTTCTAGTGGGATAAAGCTCTCTCAGTTGCACCTGGTGTATCGATGCAATACTGGAAGAAGTTAATGCAAAGGTAAAGTGATGAAAATGAAGTGCTGTGTTGTAGCTTCTGTATTTAAAGTAACACAAACAACAAGTACTAAGATGAAATACTTGTATTAGTATTAATTGCTTCTGTTACGGCACTCTAGCAATGTTACATTTCTTTCAGTAAGCTTTGGCCTGAAACTGTCAGAAACTTCAACACAAATGTGATTGTGGATATAGAGTTAAAAAGTTAAGCATAAACTACAAGTTCAACTCAAATCTTTGTCTGGTAGAATGCAGTATCCTTAAAGCTTGCATCTTCTGAGATTTGTAAATGCAGATGGGTTTTGGTGAACTTTCTGTAACTTCATCTAACACCTATACCATGAAGTGTAGTGGTCAATTTTATACCTAGATCTATCTTGTTTATTTATTCATTTCTTTAATTAGGAGAGCTGATCAGTTAATTCAGGAAGAAAGTGATGATGCCATCCCATACTGTATAGCTACTGGAGACGTGAAGAAACTGGTTGCTTTCTTTAGTTCAAGAGGACAGCTGAATGAGGCTCTACTTGTTGCACAGGTATTACTACATATACCAGTATATGTAATAGCATTTAGCTATTCATTTCTGACTCTGAAGATGACGAGCATATTTAAAAGACTAGCTCTGTTCACATTATAAAATTGCTAACTAACGAAACCCCCTGCTTTTTACTTTCGTGCTCTGTTGGCCGCTTTTTTACTAAGGTCATAAAAAATGCATCTCACTGATTTTAAGCCCGATTCTTCTAAATTCCAAAGGGGCAGCTATAATAAAAACTGATGATTAGTGCTAGGTTAAAATAAAATATATATACATATAACCTGACTCTTACCAATCTGCTATTTTAAATTTCTTAGTTTCACATATTTTTCCATCAAAGCCTTAGTTATACTTCTTCCTCCAGAATCTTAGGGTGAAATTTTTCAGCTGTAGTAGTAATAAACATAGGAAATCAGCACTTGTATTCAGGTGACCTTTTAATTTAATACAATAAAACAGTACAATCACCTTGTAAATGCAAGTTACAGGGTATGCAAAACATGCAAGTCTGGTAATTCATTTCCATTTATCATTGTTCCTTTATTTTCTGAGTAATTTTTGCCTGCTTAATACAGCTTCTTGAACTGTCAGGTTTTAAAGAAACGAAAAAGGCTTTGCTTATGCTGCTTTGGCTTTTCTGGATTTGCTGGTATGCCTACTAAAGTGTGACTGGAAGTTGAAATCCAAGGACATAGCCATTTGTTCCTAGTGGCCAAGCTAGCAGCCCTCACTATCCATTTGAAGCTGATTCAAAACCTGAAAAAATTGTCTACAAACTCATAGAAGAGATCTCTTGCTTCTGTAGACTTCCTTGTGTAGCTGAATAAAACCAGGCTAAAACTTTACTATGAACAGGCTTGTTGATTTAAACACTTCTTTTGCTATAGTTGGACTTTAGAAGAATTTTTAGAGAGCTCAGATTTATTCTTATTGAAAATCACATGATTGGTTATAATTCACATTTTCATGAATCTGTCACTTTATGCTCTTGCAGGCAGCTTGTGAAGGAAATACACCGTTCTCCACAATGAGTGGATCTTCCAATTCTGATTTAAACAATACAGATGATTATAATGCGTAAGTTGTTGTAGTTTATAATTAAAATCATCAAGTGGAATAAATCTCAGTAGTTTAATTTGGAACCAGCAATGCAAAATTTGACAACAAAGTACTACATCTTCTAGTGTTTATTTCATGGAGCCAATTGTTCTCCAATGAATGCTGTATTGTATAATCTCCCCTGTATTGCCCCTTTCTGGCTTTTTTTTTTTTTAATTATACATGTACTGCTATTGCAAGGAACATTCTTATACACTTAAATATGTCCTTAAACATTTAGCTTTATTTCGTTAGAGTTTTTGGAAAATGTAGAGTAAGTTTTATTATTAAGTAGTATCTGGGAGACCACATATTTTATACATCTTCTCCTGAAAGCTTTGGTGTTTTTCCTCAGAAGCCACTATTCCTTCCTTGTTCAGAACAGTGCTCAAAAGTCTCTGTGACATTATCAAGCTGTATGTTTGCTAACAAAAGGAGCTTGGAGACTGTGTGGTTACTTCATGTACCTTCATAGGTTTTGAGCAATTGGAGAGAAACTTATGCAGTGTTCACACGTACGGGACTAATATCGGTGTACTGTATTTTTCTTTCCTCAGTCTGAGGCAGTGCTGTACTGGTGTTGATTTTGTGAAATTAATCCACATGAATGTGCATTAGCATAGATGGATTCAGTTCAAACCAGTAGCTTTTTTGACTAGAGCGTCATTATTTGTAATTTAGATATAGAAACTTCAGGATACTTAAGCAAACTTGTATTTAAATTTAAAGCTAAGCAACTCTAACCTTAAAGTTATTTTGCTGAATTCATATGTTGTTAACTGCAGGCTTCTTCAGAAGGTCAGTGAGGAACTGGCAGAGTGGTATTTCCAAGATGGCCATGCAGTGCTTGCCGCGTGTTGCCATCTGGCTGTTGAAAACATAGAGGTAACTTCTCATTTCTCCTTTCCGATTTTCTTTTTAACTCTTTATTTGCAGAAAGCCAACATTGACTTTTTATATCACCACGTATTAATGATCTGGTTTGTGTTTTGTTTTTCCAGATGTGCGTGCTGCATTCTAAATGCTACTAGTTAAACTTGTTTTTGCCTTTGTATTTCTTTATGCACAGGCTTGATCTTTGCAATATTGAAGGTAGTGGCAAAATCCTGATTATTTTTTTTTTTTTAAATTCTGGATTTCTCTCATGAACACAAAGGTTTCTTCTAAAGTAGTGCTTCCTGTTTATTTCCATGAAAACAACAACAGATACAGAGAGCACAATAACACTGTTTGATGGAACAAATTGTCAGCTACAGAACACTCTTTGTTGTTACCATTAGTTATGCATTTTCTCCAGTGATGAACAAGAGCCAGCATGCCGTGCTTGTAACAGTCTGAACTAGTGGAGGTGACCTGTTGTTGCCACTGCTGATAAGCCCCACGCAGCTCTTCGCTGTGCTAATATCTGCTGTTTGGTTTCCATAAACATGCAGCAAGCATCAAAGAAAGTCAGTAGGTGCTTTTTTTTTTTTTTTTTCCACATAGAGGAATTAAATTGTGATCTTTGCTTCACGTGCAATTCCATGTCAAATGCCATTTTGTCAGATTACCTCTGCTGCCATCTGATACACAACAAAAATGTTTCATGGGGTATTGGTGGGAATGTTAAACTTATACTGCTGTATCACCAACATCTGCCTCTGACATCATGGGACAATGTAATAAAATAAATGACATTGCTTTCAAAGCAGCCCTCGTAATACATTGTTTAATTGAATTTTAGTAAAGGCAGTTCATATGATCCTTCAGATCCCTTCCAACCCTGGCCATTCTGTGATTCTGTAATACACTGTACCTAGATATCTTGCATGCATATATATTCACAGCATTATTGTTTACTATTTTTGTGACCCAAAATACCTATTCAGAATTGGAACTTCATTGTACTATGAAGAATGTGATCTCCACCAAATTTGATTATAAACAAAATCAATAGGAAAAAAAAACCCTTGGACAAAAAAATGGCAACTTGTAAGATTTTCATTTTCTTATAATTTTTTAAATTACCTCTTTTCCTTGCTCTTTGGTCTTTTTTGCTTCTGATCCAACATGTTCTAACTTTGCTATTCCTTCAAATGAGTAAAATCCTACTTTCTTGCTCTGAAGAAAAAGTTGTCAGTTAATGTCTGTATTTCAAATTATATGCTTGAAGTTTTGTATAGTCTTGCTGTTTAATGTTCTACTATTCCTATCAGCAACTCCAGTTACCCGGAGGATATGTACAGGAGAGACATTACTGTTTTGTTTTTTTGTTTGTTTGTTTTTTTTTTTTTTTTTTAGAGATCCATTTCAACAAGAAGGGTGGTGAAATATTTATTCCAAATACTACTGTCCTTACCTAGAACTTAGCTATCGTGATAGTGATTCCTTTATGTATGAAGTTTAATCTCTTTGATCAAATGAAGGAAGTATCTGCAAAAGGAAATCTATTAGATTATTTGAAAACTGATTAAAACATGATATGTAATTACTATGCATTCAAGAGGCCTAAATTTTATGTGAAAAGTTTGTTTAATGCGTTTTTTAAAATTCCTTTTTGTAAAAAAGCAGTCTTGTAAATGAATGTCATGTACTGAACATGGTGAATCCTCAAAAATGATTGTGTCCTTTAATTATACAATTTTTTCATTGAGCAAGGTTGCAGTGGCAAACCTGATTCGTGGAAATGAGCTGGAGTTGGCAGTCAGTGTGGGTACTGTCTTGGGAGAAAGAGCAGCACAAGCAACACATTATGCCCTAGAATTACTAGCAAGAAAATGTATGACAGTAACAACATGGTAAGAATTTTTTACTCCAAAGAAGATTTGTTTATTCCCCTCCCCTGAAAAAAAAAAAGGTCTGTCTCATACTGAGGCTTACATTCACCAGGCCACTGTGAGTAGATAAATTTCTGCTTGAATCGAAATCACACCTATGAAGCGCAGAGACTGCAAACATTCTGCTTTAACCTCAAAATAGATTGTGTGGACTTTAAGTGAGAGAAGAGTCATTGTCATTTACAGTATAAATAACACTGAAGAAGCTAGATATCTATTTGGGCACTAATTAGCATAGTAAGTCCTACTCTGTACTGAGTAAAAGTGATTGCTTTGGATAGAGTGAGGCTAGTATTGAATGACAAAGTCAAAAGACACTGAAATTTAAGCAGGATCTGCAAAGTGATTCTAAGTTCTTGTTGGACAACTTAAAATCACAAGAGATTGAGGAATTACTTTATACTGATACTGGATATCCAGGGCAGCTGACAAGATTTGAAAATGAGATTATTGTTTAAGCTGGAGGAGTCGGTTATTTGTTACATACAGGGAAATTTCATTTCTCTGCTAGATTTTTTTTTTTCTTCTTACTTGTAGTGGCTTTACTTGGAAAGATATGTTTTTGGTTTGTTTGTTCTTTACCAATAAAATGTTGCTAAGATATACCTGGCAGCTGTACAGTTATTGCAGAATTTACATTCAATAGACCACGTATTTCAACAGATGTGATTGGGCCTCAGTTTTGCTTCTAAACTTAAAATTTGCTTAGGCAAATAAAAAGATAGAAATTCTTGAGTCTCTTCATATTTTGTAGTACAGATACAGCATAGAGTAGTATCCTTTGGTTTTCTGTATTCATGTGATTATGCATGGGTAAGATGGAGCTTGAGAGCCTCTGAGCTTATTTGAAAGACTCGCTTCTTTGCACCAGTTCTTTTTAAGAATATCCACCAGCTGGAAACATTTTGTTTCAGAGAAACATTGTAGAGACCTCAAGGAATATCAAAAGGTTGATAACTAAAGAAATCAATTTCTGATGGAATGTTTTTTCTAGTAATGTTTGAAAATATGAAATCCAAACAAAAGTCAAAACTAAATATGAATGCCCCCTCCCAGTCTGCGGCCGCAGGAAAAACATGCAGCTGTTCAGAGTAAATGAGTGAGAGTTTATGAACACCATTTTAATTTAATTTTATTTGTTTAGCATCTAAGTACAGTTAAAATGAACTTTCTTCAGAAGGCAAGTAATACGTTACTTGAAATACTGAATTCTGTGTAACCTGATAGAGCCGCCTTATTTTTTCTTCATACACTAAATATTTCTTTTCAATTTGATTCTTGAAAAATATTCTACATTACACAATTTGAGGCCATTTTATGAGTGTTTCTTTGAATTTTTTAATGAACATTTGATTTTAGTTTTCAGCTGAGCAGTTTCTAGTCAATTTTAAAAATAGAATAGTTATTGCTTATTAAAGTGATTATTTTTTCCAGTCACCCCGCCAAAAGCAGGTTTGCCACCTACTAGGTCTAACTGCCCAGGGCCGCATTGAACCCAGCCTTGAATGCCACCAGGGATGGGGCATCCACAGCTTCTCCCAGCAACCTTTCCAGTACCTCACTGCCCTCTGAGATCTTGAAAATTTGTGAAATATGCTATATTCTCAAAGTCTTTTTGTATCTTGGAAAAATGGCTATTTCATAGTAATTGTATAGCACATCTTCCAAAGATCTTTTGGCATTAGGTTTTTTAGGTTGTCAAAAGGCACTGGAAAGATTTCTTCTGTTATTCAAGTTAGGCTTACCTGATTCTGGGATATGCTGTTATTTAGTTATTTCCTATTCAAAATTTCTTCTGTATTCAAAGTGAGAATATAAAACAAAAATTTGTTCAAGATTTGTTCATTATTGTTTCAATGTCTTCCTTTTAGCTTTCCATCACTTGGATACAGGTATATTGCTTGTTTCTAGAAAGAGAGAAGTGTGTAATTTTGTTTATTGTTTATTGCATTGTTTATTGCACCAAAAATAGACAATAGACTCATATGTAGTTGCTTTGTTGCTTCTATCTCATCTGAAAGTAGCTGTATTGTTTATTTTCTTCTGTAAAGTAGTCAGTGGAAAACTCTTTCACATTCTTTCTACAAACAATTAAGAGTAACTGTATGTTGTCTTGCTTATCCAGGGACTTAGCAGCTGATCTTCTTATGATGATTCCTGATAATAAGCTGCAGTTGATAAAACTTTGTGCTTTTTATCCTGGATGCACAGCTGAAAGAAATGACCTACATGAAAAGGTACGTTGAAAAAGAATTCATCTGAATGCTAGCAGAGCTTGTGTGTTGATTTCTTTCTTAATTTCAGAATATTGAAGACCACGGCCTAATAAAAATTGTAAGATTTTTGTCACTAACAGTCTTATGTTGTATACTTAATCTTGCTTTCTATTTTGTGCACTGTTTCCATGGCACAAGTTACTTCCACAAATAGCTTATGATCATCAGAATTACTTGTCTGTAGGGTTCATAGCCGCCTCCTTACTTGTGTAGCCTAACCAGATCTTGGTAGGGCACCTTTATCTACTACCCCGGGTTTGTTTTACTTCTTAGATTTGTAACTTCCTTAAATCCTCCCTCCCCTCTTTTCGGAAGTGATAGAGTCTGCTCCACTATCTTCCTTAATGTTCAACATCTATTAAGCAGCAGTAGCAAGTTCGCAATCATTAACAATGCAAACAGATGTTAATTGTGTTCAATTCAAGTTAGAGAACCACCTCTTCTGTTCTCTGGTCTAAATGGCGTTCTTTATGCCTGGTGTATGGGAGGCATCTTTTAAACATCTTTTCAGAGAGAGATTGATCTTAATGTTATGTGTTCTTGTGCATCTTAGATAATTCTTTAAATATTATAATAATTCTTTAGCAAAATCATTGTTTTCTAGTGTAATCTTCCTGATGTAGAAGAGTGTATGCGATTGGCAGAAACAACTGAGGCACTCGGTGATATATTTGAAACTATAAAGTACTATCTGCTAAGCAATGAACCAGAAAAAGCTCTCCCTATTGGCATTCAGTATGTGAAAGGTACTTGAATAAAGAAACTTTTTAAAGCATAATTAATTTGTATAGCTTGTCTCTTCAATTATTTTTTCTATTTTTGAACAGAACAACTCCGTGACTCACATTGGACTTTAGATTCAGTATGTCCATACCTTGACCTTCTAAGTTACATTCGCACTGAACAATTAATGCTGCCTAACTGTACAGAGTAAGTATGTTTTCCATATTTATGAAAGTGGAAGTTTCACTTAAAGAAACGTATAGATTAAAAAAAAAAAATCTATTGCTTCAAACTGTTAAGTATCACTTTTGTTTGACAAGAACAGTGGTACAAACAGATTGCTGTCAATAGGTTAATTCTCAGCCTGGAGAACTGAATGTGGAATTCTCCTAAATTTTCAAGGTTTAGCAAAAAGAATAAGAGATTTGCCTGCTACTTTTGCAGGCAATTTACAGTGGGTGTGTCAATATTGGTCTTATTTGGAGAAGCTCACTTTGATTAGTTTTCTGTTTCAGTTTTTTGAAGAGCAGTGATATCACACACAATGTGTTTTTATGTCAAAGTGTTAAGGAAATTCAAGCAATCAAGCAATTTAAGTTAATCTTAAAATTAACTCTAAAATAGTTAGATTGCTGTGTTTCACCATTCATTAAAAGATCGTTTAAATTAGGCCTGGATGGTTGCAAAGATGTATATGAAGAACTAAAATGAGCAGAAAGCTTAACTCGTGTCTGTGGGGAAAATTGATAGTACTCAAGATCATACAAATATGGTGCAATTTTATTTAAAGTTTTGTTGTATTGAAAGGTCTGAGCACCACTGTTTTGTAATGTTATGTGACTGGACTTATTAATGCATATGTGCTAAAATGTAATGGTTTGGTTTAGTGAGAAATACTGGTAATAGGTGGATGGTTGGACTGTGTGATCTTAGACGTGTTTTCCAACCTTGGTGATTCCACAATTCTGTAATTTTTATATCAGTATAAAGCAGGTGAAATGTAATAAGTTACATCACACAGAAACTAAACATAATTAGCAGACGTATTCCTCATAAAGCATGGACTGATGAGATAGGCTTTAAAATTTTATATATTTGAATATGAGTGTTTTTTTAAAATGCTTGAAATCATTATTGTTCATAATTAATACTTGTTCATTTATAGATTTCGGAATGAGTTGCTAATTTTGTGTGGTTATATTGGTGCTTTACTTGCTATCAGAAGACAGTACAATAGCATTGTACCTGCACTTTATGAATATACAAGGTAATATTATGCTTTTAGTAACACTTCAAAATCTCAGTTCCTTTTATGGTATATGCTGTAGGCAGATCATGTTTCTGGGTAGATCAACTTCTGAATTAATGATTTCAGTAAAACACTTTGTTGTGTAAGGAAAAACTGGTTTTTTAGATGAGCATTCAGCATTACTTCTGTGCATGATTGTATGCTGTGTAGACCTCTTGTGAAGACTTGCTCAGTAGCATCAAGGGCAAGCTGTGACTTCAGAGCTTGTATCTGTGCACTTGCTTCCTTTCCCATCATGAAACCTTCTGGTACTCAGTGAGCTAATATTCCCTATCTGCAAGCTTTTTGCTTGGTCTAGCACACTTGCCTCCACTTGGTCCTGCGCAACCCAGTCACGACTTGACCTGACTTTAGCCTTGCCTGCTTGTCTTGTCCTCATCAAATTGACCTGGGTTGACTTCACTTGGTGCATTTGATCTGATGCGACTTGGCTTAACCTCACTGACGTGGCCCCACCTACCTGACATGGCCCATTTGACTTCACCCACTTGACACCACTTAGCTTGCTTACCTGGTGAGATCCCACTTGGCCTGAACCACTTAACCTAGCCTAAGTTGTCTTCACTTGACTCTCTAGGACTCGACTAAATTAAATCAATCCACTTGACTTGAATTCAGATCAATAATCTCTGTTAATCTGCTGCTAAATAAAATGTTTATATGCAGTACTTCAGTACTCCTTCAAAAATGTAACCACTATTATTTAGTCTTCCTCTGTGCTGTCCATCTGACTAATTGCCATTTCTAGCAATAACATCTCCCTCACAGTTTGGTGCACTCAAATCTTTTTGATTTTATTCCTGTTGGGTAACAAAGCCGTGTCCAAGATGTCACTGATTTCACGATGCAGCTTGTTTTGCCTTTGCTAGATATGATATTGCTTCACATCAGTTATATATACTTAGTTGCAGTCAGCTTGTCATTATTAGGAAATAAAAGTCTTAAAGTATTGAAGGGCCTCTTAAAAAGGGGGGGGGAGGGGAGGAGGAAATTAAGATAATTAAAGATAAGCTTAAATAAATATATAAATATATAAATTGAGATACCTAAAGACAAGTTTAAAAGAGAAGGTATATCTTATATCTAGTAATTTAATATTTCTGTGGCTTCATACTGGTGACCATCATGAAGGATGAAATGATGAAGTTGTGTCAAAAATAGTTGAATATTATTTCTTTCAAGAAAATATGCATTGTTAATTTGGGCTTTATTCTCATTCCTTTTCAGTCAGCTTTTAAAAAGACGGAAGGTGTCTGTACCGTTGAAAATTGAGCAGCTCTCTGAGGAATTAGATGCGTGGAGAGCCTTCACTCAATCAACCAAGTATGTGGAAAATAAAAAATTAGCATGATGATTCTACTAGCATTTAAATGTTTTGTTATGAATACAATATTATCTCCTTTATAAAATCTTTCTATTAATGTTTAAAAAAAATATTTTATGGATGTTAGTTTCCAAAACAAATTATGATGTGTAGTTGGAAAAAAAAAGAAAAGCTTCTTTTTTCACAGACCTACCAATGAATTGCCATGCACTCCACCATCTGAGTCACAGAAAAAGGTCTATTCAATACTGGTATCACGGATACAAGAGGAGCCTCTGAAAGGAATGATTGGGCCTGACTATGTCACTGGATCAAATCTTCCCAGCCATTCAGATGTTCACATCTCTTGTTTGACAGGGCTAAGGATACAGGTCAGTTTCAGAGAGCCCAGGTAAACTCATCATGGTGTTAGCAGTGAGTATTGATGAGATTACCATAAATCTAAGGTACATACCATCATGTACGAAGACTAATATTTTCCTTATTGTCACAGTAGCAGAAGTTAAAGCTAAGGACAAGTGCTGAGATCTGCTATATAAATAAGGTTATGTAAAGAGTTGTCCAGCCAAATGATTGCCCAGTTTACCAATCTGAAACTTCTTAGTTTTCATGGAAAAAAAAAAAGCTGCATTCATTTTGCCAAATTTTATTTGTATTCAAATTTATTTGAATTTATTGTACTCATTTATTGTAAATTATCTCATATATATCATTGTCTCATTGCAGCTTGATTTAAAAATGTCATGTTCAACCACATACTGACATTGTGTTTCCACTGTGATTAATAACAACAACAGAATAGTTAAAATTCATTAATTAAAGTCAGATAGTAAAAATTGAATATTTAAATATTTTTGTTTCACTTCCATAGGATTTAAAGATCAAAACATGCTTGCCCTTCCAATGCCTTTTTTGGTATTTCTGGGAAAACTAGATGGGTCCTGAAAACACTACTCTATATGGCTACTTTCTCCAAGTGCTGCCTCAGTGTGAAATTATTCTTTTATATGAGGCTATCTGTTTTCTCTGTGCAGTGTCAGATGCCAGGCCAAAGAGTAATGGGGTTGTTCAGGGATTGAGAGGGATGGTTTTGCATTGGCAATGGGAGGTCACCAAACACTAGTAAGATCTTTAAGGTAAACAGAATTAACAACAACCTCAAGTCTAAAGGACTTGCTGCCAGTACTTCTGCATGAGACCAGTGATCTCTGCTGTGGCTCAGTGAAAAATGCATGCACATGTTTTAGTGGTTGCTAATAGCCACAGAAAGCTGCTGCTATTATACTCCATTTGACAAGAATGGCAAATGTGGTGTCACCAATTTGACATCTACAGTATTCTAATCTCTGGATTAGTGAATAATGTCCTAATTCCCTGATTAGTGAATATTAGGAGTCTTTGCTCTAGGCATGCAGATTGGCTCAGAAATCATTAAGTACTAAGGTACAGTAACCTAATTACTTGGTTTTACAGTTTTACAGTTTAAGTGGCAAGTTCAGAGAGCCACTGTAAAAATGCACTTAAAATTGAGTTACAGCTTTGAGACCATGTTTCATCAAATTAAAAAACTGGCAGATACCTTCTCTCTCATCATATAAATCAATGCTTTGTCCTTCATGTTTCTCACAGTGAGTACTGGATGTTGCTTAGTAGACTCCATGTTTTAAAACTATTCATGGAGCCTTTTTGATTTCATTTTGTTTTTAAGATGGAGAAATCCAAAAGATATGACATCAGGCAAAATTTAACTGACAAATGTGCAGAATACAGCAATTGTTAAGATTAAAAAAAAAAAAAAAATGTGATGAGTACGAAATTTTCAGTTTCTATATTTTAGAGCCTATTCACTTAACAGTTGCATATTACTAAAGCTTTGAGCTGACCAGGTAGTATTTTCATATGAATTTAGGTGATAGACTAAAACTTGTTCTTCACGTTCTTCTCAGATAAAAATGTGGTAGTCTTTACACAATACACATGGACTGTCTTTTTCTTTCTCTCCAAATATTTCTGCTGTTCCAGGGTCCAGCATTCTTCCTCGAAGATGGAAAATCTGCAATTTCACTGAATGATGCTTTGATGTGGGCCAAAGTGAATCCATTTTCACCACTAGGAACTGGAATACGGCTTAACCCATTTTGATGCAGTATTTTCCTCTTAACGTAACACTGATTGTGAAAGGACAGAAAGATGCTAGTCAAGCTCTCTTGGGAGACAAATATTTGGACTTTTAAAATTGTAAAATGAGAACAACGAGAAAAGATTTCTATAGAAATGTTTGTTGATTATCCAAAGAAGTAGTTATTGAGAATCCAAAGAAAAAAAATCCTAACTTAATTGACAGCCATGTCTTTTTTAATACAAATTGTTAGACAGCACAGACATATTTCAGCTGAAATTGACTAAACAAATCCCTTTAAAGCACAGAGGCAACCCTACACATCATCAAAATACAGATAAACTGTGAAACCCAAATACGCTTTCAAAGGATTAATGACCTCATGAATAGCCACTGCAACTTGTTTTAGAATGACTGTAATAACACAGTGACTATTTTTTTAATTTTAATTAGTTTTTACACAGGATTCTAGAGCAAAAGTAAAATTTCGAAAGTGCACAGGTGACCTTTGCATTCATTAGTTACATGCATCATTAATAGTAGTACAAAGATGTTTATTAATGTTTTGTTAAGATAGGTTTGAATGTCTAGATTATAATAGTATATTTTCTAAGAAGTTCATCTTTGACACTTTGTCCCCCTGTATACTCTCAATGAAAGCTAAGATGTATTTATAAAATCTTTTTTTTTTTTAACAAAGCCTTTGTAAGGAACAGAAAATGTAGTGATGTTATTAAAGTTCTTTATGTACATTAAAATGCTTTATTTTTACATTTTATATTAGTTATAAGTGTAGTGTGATGGACCAGAAACAAACACTTCGCATAGATTTTTATTTACTGATTGTCATGGTTTTGTGATTTGTTATTGGTAGTCTGCATCATAAGATCATGCAGTGCACTGGGAATTAAAGAGTAATTGCTGCAGATCTGGTCTCAGAAAAGAAGAATGGACCACAATTTGCAGAAGACTTCACTTTTTTCATTTCTGTTTTCTGTTAAGAGGGAAAGCTGAAACTTACTGTAAGTCATGAGAATGTCTTTCTTTTTGCCTGCCTTGGCTCCGTGTGTTTGCTGGCTGTCTCATCTACAGGATCAGAGTAAGGCTTTCAGTTTTTAGATACTCCCTCATTTATTCTATTAGCTTTGATTCCAATTATATTGTATTGTCTTGCATTCCATTATCATATTTAGTAAATTAGTTTTCTCCCTTAGATTGTTACCACTGTTATTGTTTTGGAGTTTTTTTCCCCAACTGGGCCCATCTCCATACTTTTTCCCTTTTTTCCAGGGCATGGTCCATGGGTTTCAGACAGCGTCACATTGGGAAGCTTCACCCCATTAGTCACAGAATTAGGCCAGACCAGGGCTGGAATCATGGTGCTATTTCTGTGCTCAAACAGGAAGAAAGTTATGGCAGTAGAATACCAAGATAATTTAAAGTTGTGTATTGTAAGCAATTTAACCATAGAAGTCTTATGATTGGAATTACTAATCTGTAGAAAGCTTGCTTTAGTTATATTATTTTCAGCTCGATGGCATACAAGCAGAAATCTATCTGACCTTCATTACAGTTGTGACAGCTGCTTTAAAATAAATATAAAAATCCTGCTAGTTACTTAAAATACAAAGAAGTTATCATTAGAAACTGGCAGAACTATGTCTAGAGCAATCCTTTTAAAAACAGCAGTAATACAAAGTGGTATTTAGTACATCTTAGTTCTCAATAGCTCTATAAGCACTGCCCTCATCTAGCTAAGGATAACAATGTCAACATGCCAGAAATGTACTATGGAGGTTAAAAATCAACAATTCTCGTTCTCTTCATTTCTCTTTTAAAATAATTAAATTTTTCATTGCCTGTTCTGGAATTGTATTACAGAATTTCTGTGATAGGAATTTATTGGAAGGAAAATTAGCTGCTTTGTTATGTGTACAAAAATTTCTGTTCATACTTAAGAGTTGGTAATATTATACTTCTTGCAGGTATTGTTTGAAAAATGTTTTCCCTTGTTCAACCTTGTGGAGTTTGGAGAATTAAAGTTAGATTTCAGAACTAAAAATTTATATTTGGTGACAGAATTTTCCAGTATTATCTGATGGGTTGCTTCAAAGATGAAAGATTATTTCCTTTTACCACATTAATCATACAATTTTGTGTGTGATATCTGTTCATACAAAATTGGTGAGAGAAACTAAGAATTGAATTTACAGTCTCATGTCTGATGACAGGATCTGAAGGACTGGCTCAACTGGCACTCTGCTCTATTTCCAAGTTTTTGCTGCATTGTAAGGATTTTTACCAGTACTTCATAACTTAAGTATCTTAAAAATAGATAGTCTAATTGTATCAATTTGTTGCAAGGAAGTTGTGCCTTAACACATAATCTTAGGCAGATTTTACTCCCTCTTCAAACTAGAGAGGGAGGGTTAATTTTTGTTTCGTTGATGAAATAAAATAAGTCATTGTGAGTAAAATGGTTGTGTTTTGTCTACTGCAGTTTTAACCCCATGTGGTGAAGGAAAGAAATGTTCTTCATTATCCAGCACAGCTAGTCAAATAGAGGTATTTTCCCTTAATATTTAAGAATCTTTTTAAGAGTCTTCAAGTCACTGTTCAATTTTTCTCTAATAATGAGTATTTCTGTTTTAATGAAGAAATTTAGCAAGCTCTATAATAGTGTTTTCTAATAACTATAAATCTCAGCATATTTGAGATGTTAATGTCATTTTATCCGTACAAAATCGAACTTTTTCTGTTGAAAAAATCTGACCAGTACAGACATCTTTAAGCTTCGCAGACTGTAGCCAAATGTGAGATCCTCAAAACACACTTTCCTACATGGCTTAAAAGACAATATTGAGGAAAAAAAAAAAAAGCAATGGTATGAACTATGCCTTAAAAATGAGATATGACACCTTGAAGTTTAATAATATGGAGTTTTCATAAGTGAAAAATATTAAATCCAGAGTTACAGGAATTTAACATTACACTAATGCAAGGAAGTACTTCTCTAAAGAATGAAGTTAAACTACCAAGCTTAGATACCTCTTTCAGAATAGATATTACTATTTTTTTTTTTAATTTGAAGCTTTCATGGTTATATAGGAATGAAAATCCAGAATCTTTGCTCTTATGATGACTGAAAACAAAGGAACCAAAAAAAGCACTTGTGAAGACTGTCTTTATATCTTAATCTACTTCATGTACAATGTTTAACTTTGTAGACTCTGATTTTCTATCAGTACCATCTGTGTCAGAAACCTTCACTGATACATATCAACTTTAGTAAGAAATGAAGCTGAAATGGACGCTAGGCAATATTATATGAACAAGTAAGTTAAGTACTGTAGAAATAAATAAAATCTGTATTGTAGAACATGATATAATCTATTTTTTTTTAATTAATTTGGCTTTAAATGAATTTGTGCCTAACTAATGGCCAACTTAGATTTCTCTTTATTGATTATGCAGTCAACACAATTGTGATTGAGAGATTGTTTGTATTTAAAAGTTCCTTATCTCTCTGGTTAATCCTTTCAGCAGTCTCCAGATGGTTCTAAATATCTATCCTGAGGGGGGAGTTGTCAGCTGTTTCCCCCGAAGTTCTTTAGAATGAACATATTTTGTCTCCGGTTTCTGATGAATCTGTATGCAAACAGGTGGGGAAAATATCATGACAGCATTAAAGAAGTTGTTTTAATCAGATTTAACCATAAAAATCTAGACTGAGTTTAAACTCTTAGAGTCTCATTTTCCCTTCTGAAGAAATTATTGTAGTCCTATGTATAAAGACAATGCAGTACCATTTTTGAGGGTGTTACTATTTAAACCAACACAGACAATCCTTGATGGCAAAGAGGAAGAATACATACAAACAGGCTGAAAGCTAATTAATCAGATCGATTTGTGACTGTTGGCATCAGTGCCCAAAAGAGCCAAACAGGATTTCAGCATAGTAAATGTACCCAAACTAAATCAAAACACTGAGAAAAGTAAGGAAGGCATTTTTAAGTATTAGAATAATTGCTACTGCTGCCGTATTAGGGAAAATCTCAAAGCAATTGATCTTAAAAATAAATAAATCAGTTTAACACTGCTAACCCTCTCCAAGTCTCCTATTTTGTAAGAAGATGTAGCTTCAAAGTTTTTAAACACATCTATTGGCTGTCTATATAGCAAAAGTTTAAAAAAAAAAAAAAAAAGTTTAACCCCTACATGATCCAGAAAAACAAACTTACATGAGGTAACAAATGCTGCTTTGGGATACTAGCTGTATTCGTAGAGGGTATGATGCAATCCAAATGGTGAACCACACGCTGTCCAAAACTTGGTTTAATGTTAAACCGTCCTTTAAGACAAAAATACCACACTGCTCATTTCAGCAGTATGTTGAGCATCTCACCAGTTAGTTGTTTACTTCTCCAGTTTATCTGTACGCTGTAACTACCCTGCCCCCCATTTTACTTAAATGCTCAGATGATCTGGCAGCTCTATAAAAATAACATGCTCAGAAGAAAAGGGGAAACGTTAAACATTGTAAGGTAGAAGTACTCTGTATCTTCTTTTCAAACAGGATATTTTTTGTGTGTTTAAATAGATGAAATTGTTTCAGTGTTTTATTATTTAAAATGCCTGAGATTGTAAATAAGCATTAAACAAAATGTTTGAGATTGCACAGTATGTCTTAACCACACATGCTCAATTTGAACAACTTCAAAATATTTCAAGACTGTAAAATCAGCAAGTCACTGCAGTTAAACATACTACTTGGCAAAGAAAGTCTTCAACTAGAGAAAACAAAAAACTAAATAGCAAAAGAAAAAAAAAAAAATTGACCACAAATTGACTATTTATGTCTTAATGGTGATCCAGAGCAAATTTTTCATTTGACATGATCAAGTTGAAGACATACTTCTTGAAGTCTAACATCTGATTTCTTTGCTTAAGCCTTATTTACTCCTGCAGCTACCTTTGATACACTCCTATTATGTGTAATTTGTAAAGTGTAAACAATTTAAGATAATTTGACTTGGTCTGTGGTATAGAAGAGATTGACACTAGAATGTTAGGTTTAAATTTGGTGCCAGAATTTTCAGAAGGATACAGAAAACTCTCAGGAGTGCAGCAAAAGGCTCCAAAATGGAAACAAACCAGAGAATTCAGTTTAATTTTGGAAACCACGTCATGTTTTCACTGGAGATGGAGCATCCTCCATGACAGAGCGTGCTTTAGGTAATGTTGGTTATAAAGCTGAATATAAAGAAATTCAACTGAAATGCTGTGGCTTGCAAGACTGAGATCAAAGTAGACAGGCTCGTGATCTCTTCAGACTCAAAAACATGCAAACTGGTTGCAGTGGAACTGATGCATGTAAAAGCATGTGCCTGCAAGACTGAGGGACTTCTAAAAGTCATATATTGTGTCTTGGAGAAGAGTAACAAACATTAAAATGAACAGAGTTATCACTAATTGATTTTTAAAATGTCTTTCACTGTTGAGGATTCTTTGATAGTATCAGTGACAGAGGATAACTGATCCAACTCGTAGCATTCAGTAAGTTAAATTATCCTAATAAGCAGAAAGAGGAAATAATCAGCTTTTGTCCTTTCACCTTTTCTTAAAGCTGAAGCAACTCAGTTCTTCACTCTTCATATGTCATATGCACTAGCCCTCTAGCTACTTTGGTGGCCCTCCCTACATTATGTTAATCATAGAATGTGCATTTGTACCGGGGAATTCAAAGCTCTTTCTCGGCCAGCTGCCTGCAGTTGGTAGCAATGTGTAGGTTACTTGGTTGCCAGGACAGGATTTGTCTTTGTTCAGCATTGAGTCCTGTCATTTCTCCAGCCTGCTGGGATCTCTCTGAACTTGAAGGAGCCTCTAGTGTGCCAGTCACTCCCCCATTTGCTCACTGTCCTCTCTCTCCATGTCCACATGATTAATGAAGATGTTAAGCAGCCCTAAGAACTGATAGCTGAGGGAGGTCACTTGTAACTGGCCATAGCTGGACTACATGGAACAGCCCTTTAATGAGAGCCCCTTTAATCTGATGGTCCAGACCATCTTCCCTCCAGTGTGGGAACCGCTAGTCAACCGCTTAGCTGCTCACTCTCTATCTTGATAGTTCAAGAATACTGTGGGCCTTTGTGCTATGAGCATTTCTACCAAGAGCATCAGGGCAAGCTACAGCATCTCTGCTAAGTGCCTCAGCCAAGAAGAGCTAAGGAACAGCGTGGCTTCTTTCAGTGGTAAGGAGTAATAGAGGGGGATGTTTAGTGATAACAATAATGGTGAAAGTTATTTAATACACTCACGTGGATTCTCTGCCCTCTCTTGCATCCTCATTCCTATGTGCATGTTAATGATGGTAATGGCCTTCTGTCTATTGATGCAGATGCTGGGTTCTACCAGCATCTCTGTCAACCTGATGTTACTCTTGATGGCTGTGGAAGCTGTTGCTCTGACAGCTACTGGTAGCTGTGTCTGGTAACAGCAGTCTGTGAAGTCAATCTGCCTCTCTTGAAGACTTCCAATTCTTAAAAAAAAAAAGTTTGGGAATTAATTACAGTAAAAAAATGACAAAGTACCAGTTCATTTTTATGGCTTTATAATTATTTTCACATTGACAGCAGTGAAGCCCATATGCACTTAAATAGCTCAGGCAAAGTGATGCACAGAGAGATAATGGACGAGCTGATGGCAGAAAGAAGTAGCTATTAGCAAAAGTTTGGCTAATATTCAAAACTCACTTCAAAACACCTTTTTGCTTGCCAAGCCGGGGCCGGGCAGGAGAGGTCACCTGCGGGCATTGCCCACTCACCGGCTGCTGGTCAGCGCGGAGCAGAGCTCTCGCAGCAGGCTCTCTGCCGCTCCAGGCTTACAGTGAATCGTTCCGTCTATCAGCTCCTGAGTGATGTCTAACTCTTGCTTTGCCAAAAACTTGACGCGGAAAGAAAAAAAAAAAAAAGCAATTACAAATTAGAAGATCAAGGAAGGAGCACGGTCCGTGGCTGAGAGGGGCCGCTGAGGGGGGCAAGGGGCAGCAGCCGCCCCAGAGCCGCCCCTACGCTACCGCGCGCCGAGGCGCCCTCACCCGCCGCAGCTGGGACCAGTTGCTCAGCTTGGTGGCCAGCGAGCAGCCGTTCGTGTAGGCGTCGGGCCGGACGTGGGCGGGGAAGCGGCGAGACAGGATCTCCGCCACCAGGTACCCGTTGGAGAAATCCCTGTCGAGACAACGCGAAAAGCGCTGGCACCGCCTCCCGCTCACGGCGCCCTCCCTTTCCCCGGCCCGGCATGGCGGACCTGCGGTAGTTCCGTGGGCTGACGGAGAGGCCGAGGCTCAGCAGCCAGCGGAGCACGGGGCGAGGCAGCTCCGGTTGCCGGAGGGCCATCGCTGGCGGGGCTGCACTCGCCGCCTCGTGGCGCTGCCGTCACGAGGCGGCCCACGCAGGAAGCGGAGCGCGTGTGGTGTGCGGGCTGTGTGAGGCGCCGCGTGGTACCGGCTGCGTTTGTCCGCAGTGCCTTACGGCAAGCCCGCGTGATGTCACAGTTGGGTTCCAGCGCGGAATGGAGATGTTACGCGATATATATTCTTTGAGAAATTGTAGGTTGCTCCAAAAGTAACGCCTTCTGCTGATGAACGTCAGTGGGTGCCATCTTTTCGGCATGAAGGAATTTGGTGGCACACTTCTGAGGCCTGTCTGTGTCGCACCTCGTGTCAGGCTGCCCCTCTGCTGCCACGCAGCAACAATGTATCATGGAATATTGGTGGGAAGGTTCAACCTCTGCTGCCATACTATCAACATCTGTCTCTGATCTCGTGTGCCAACATCGTAAATAGGAGGCATTGCTTTAAGAGCATCCATTCTTTAATTTCTGACTAATCGTGTTTTTTGGAATTGCTTTACCAAACGCTGATGTTGTCTATTTGGTTAGTATGTATTGTTGGTACATGGCATGAGAATGGGCTGATCTGAAAGCCTGTTCCACAACACAGTCCTGCCACAGCAGCTGCCTGAGTTCCCAGTTTTGTTTGTTCCCATCCAACCTGTCTCAGTTTGCTGAAGGGATCCTATTTTCATGTTATTATCTGTTAGCAAAAGATTAAAGATTTAAAAGTGAGTATTACCCAAGATTCAAGTCACAAAAATACCCCTGCAAGCTGGATCTGGGTTAATCTGCTTGCCTACTGCTCCATAGAATTAAGGAGAAAGTAGTACCCTGTAGCTCGCACCACTTAAGAGGATCTTGTTTGCTCTTTGGATGACTGCCGGAATTAGTGGCAATAGATAGTGCAAATGGCATGACAGTGCAAATCCACCTAGATGACGTAAGACAGCAGGGACTCTAATGCCTAAAGCCAAACCAACATTCTCTTTTTTTCCTCATGCAGCTTTTCCCAAGTCAAGTTTGAAAAGCACTCTGCACACCTGAAGGTAAGCGTCCAAGTGATCTTGCTCTGTGTATACAAGTATGTATACACAAGTAGTGCAGTAGTTGTCTTGGCACTACTGTGTTTCTTGAAATAATAATGGTAATGGCATTATACAGAAAACAAAACATTCTAAGTTTCTGAGTGGGGAAAAAAAAACAACAAAACAAACAAAAAATCTAGACGCTACTCTACCTAACTTGCTCAGTGCATGCTCTAAATCCTTCGGCTATGCACAGTATGGAATCCTAAGCAGTCTCTCCTACCTGCATCTGATCTTCCTTTAGAGGGACTCCAGAAGAGGCTCTCGCTAGAGTTTTTGCAAGGAGCAGAATAAAGTAAGATACCTTTAAACAAGGATAAAAGTCAGAAAGCTGGATTTTATTAGGTGGACATAAATTAGCAACTGAGTATTAGGCTTGTAAGTAGAAGGCGGACCAACTTTTTACATGAGCAGATAGCGATAGGACAAGGGGAAATGGCTTTAAACTAAAAGATGATAGATTTAAGTTAGATGTTAGGCAGAAATTATTTACTCAGGGAATGGTGAGGCCCTGGCACAGACTGCCCAGAGAGGCAGTGACTGTCCTGTCTCTGGAGACATTCAAGGCCAGGTTGGATGGGCTCTGGGCAACTTTACCCTGTGGTTGGCAACCATGCCCACAGCAGAGGTTTGGATCTTTGTGGTCCCTTCTAACCCAAGCTGTTCTATGACACGATGCAGTAGCCTTCAAAAACCATGCAATAAATTATGTTTTTCTCTGAGGCAGATTATGTATATGTCCCTAAGTTATGATATAGCACAGTTAAGGAAAGATTCCAAGAATGCTCTGTTACAAAAGGGGATCTGAAAGTATTTCAGCATTATGGCTTCTCTATAATTTGTAAACTTATATCTTTACAGATTTTCTGTTTTAAAAAGTTACAAATAATTTATAAACTAGATATGGCTAAAAAAAGAAAAGCTCAAAACACAAAACTCCAGTTCAGAGCACAGGCAGTGAGGAAGAGTAAAGGAAGTTTCTCACTGTCATTAATTAAGCATCTATATAAAGAAAAGGAAGAAAAAATGGCTATTTATTCATTTATTTATTTTTTTTTTAATCAACGTTTGTAGTGCACCTACCACCAAGTATTTTTCAGTACACAAACAACAGATATTTAAAAACACATAAAATAATGACTCCAAATGGACAAAGTTAACAAATATATATGAAGAAACGCTGCAGTTCCCATGTGCCAAACAGATTTTAAAGTATAAATACAAATAAAATTAACAGCACTAAAGCTAATTAGTAAGTATTAAGCTAAACCTATACAATCATTTCCCAGAGTATCAGCACACTTATTCAATTCAGCCTTGTTAGCACCTTGGTACCAGTTGCTGAATGGCTCCCAATTGTGATTACATGCCAACACCAGGTGTCAAAGATTTGTGTCTTTTTAAAGTAATATGCAAAAGGCTTTATTTTCCGCCCAGCAGTTCTTTAGGCAAAATTTACAATAAACAGAAGACTTGTTATTCAGCTTTCTAAAGGTTAATTATTATGTTATCTATACTGTAAGAAATTCTTCAGTATTGTTGGCAATTGGAGTTGTGGGACAAGATGCAGTCTAGCTCTTCCTATGTAATTTCGGATACGTAGTCGACAAAGCTGACAAAGAGAAGATGGTGTGGCTGCCAAAAAAAAAACAAAACAAAACAGGAGTTTAATTACATAAGGGTGAGTTTCATGCAAAAAAAAAAAAAGATTTTGACATATTTGCTATGTGCTTCTAAAAATCCTCTAGTCTTTGATGGCCTCTAAATAGCCAGTTCACAAAACCAGTTGGTTTTAGTGTGGGTTGGTTTTTGTTGTTGTTGTTGTTTTGTTTTGTTTTTTGTTGTTGTTGTTCTTAACGGTAGGCTGTTTTGAGGGAAGCATTGAAACAGTGCCAGTTCACCTCTAAAGAGATGACAATTAGCTGAGACGGTCACTTCTTTGCTTTTCTTTGTCTTCACCTGCATCTTGTGGCCTTTGTGTCTTGTCTTACCCTTACATAAGACAGCCTGAACAAATTCAGATCCCTTTGGGATATATTCATTTCCTCCCTCTCAGACTAGTCAAAAGAGACTATTTGTATCAATTGTTATTTCTCAGGTAATTACAAAGTAAACAATGTTTTCTAAATTTCATTTAAATTTTAAATTTAAAATAATAAATAAAAATAATAAATTTAAATTTAAAATTCATTTAAATTAAATTAAAAACCTCTATGGTCTTTCATCGTATATTATTATAAAGCATTTCATATCAGATAACTCATTATTATTTGATTTTAAAAATTCCTTGTTTGTACATTCATATGCATAACTGGGAATAGACTGAAACAGTTTATAACGTTACCTTGTGAAGTATGACAAGACTTTCAAACAAAAAAATATATTTCCAATATTTACATATTTTTTGTCCACACTCAAAATAAAGGGCTTTACACATATATTAGGAACACGTGTATTTTTTAATTTTGGGATGGTTGGCAAAAACTAAATACATTTTTAATCTGAAATTGAAGTATCCTGTTTCTTTATTGCAAGATCTGATGTAGCCAATAAAAATGCAGTTTTATTGTAGTTTAACACCTAATAAACATAAAAAGATGTTTTTTCAGCTTGAATAAATTCTGATGCTGCATGGCTGTGTGCTGGCTGTGGCCTGAAAGTAAATATTACTAGTTACTTTTATAGTTAAAAAAGGAACTTGGCTGAAAATAAACATATTCAGTTGTTGGGGTTCTTTGTTACATGTTTGTTTACAAAAATACACTTGCAAAAGCATATGTAAAGCTTACCTTCGTGGAGGAGCAGCAGCCTCTCTACTAAACTGCGAGGAGCAGCTAAATCAACAGGCCTCTCAAAATCTGTGTTTTTGGCATTTATGTCTGCCCCAAATTCAAGCAGTAAGTTTACAATCTCTGTACTTGAATGCTGGGCAGCAGCATGCAATGGAGTTTCCAAATGCTTTCCCTTCTGCACATTGGCACCTGGTGTGCAGGCAAAGAGATGTGAAGAAGAGATTAATGACAATTGTCATTGAGTAAAAATCTGCGCTGTCTGGGAATGCAACAGTGAATTTAGCCACTTCATTGATTTTATTACATACCAATATAGCTAATCCTATCACTGAACCTTTTGATCATATAGTTATCCTAGATGTTCTTACAAAGCACAACAAGATTTTAAAGGAAAATACTGTATAGAAAGAAGAAAAAGAAAAAAAAAAAAAACAAACTAAGTAATGTGAGCATCGTAGTTGCCCTAATTATCAAAAAAATACATTTAAAAAAATTGCTACAGGTAAACTACTCTTTCATTACTGAAGTCTTTAAAAACAATTGCTAAAATAGAGTTTGTAAATTAAAATGGACTGAACTAATTTGCAGTGCTGCATTTATATTCATAAAATAAAGTTCATACAAGAGTTAAACAAAAATAGCTAGTATGGGAAAACTCTTCTAAGCAAGCTGTTAACCTTTCCCCTCAAACAGGATTTCTCCAACAGTCATTCTATTAAAAAAAGAATCTTATTAAAAGAACTGTACTGATCTTTTGAGACCAAAAATTGGTTTCTGTACCAAATTTTGGCACTGAATAAATGTTATTTGCCTTTTAAATTCCCACTTGAGTTAAAGAACTTTTTAATATCAGAGGCTTAGCAATCTGATTCAGACTCTAAATAGGTCACTTTTACCAGCATGAACATTTTAAAAATGCTTCCACAGTGTCATTCTCTTGCCTATTTCACTGTCTGTTAGCATTATACCTCCCAATACACTCTAAATAGCTGATCAATTAAAAATTCAGATTGACATAAGTAGCTAGCTCTGTTCTCAATTTACATACACTTCTCTGCTTTATCACAACAAATGTAGAATATCCTGTTACTGCCTTTAATCTATGCCAGCATATGAATCTCAAAACATGCCAGTTATATTTCTAGGTTCCTTAAACATAGAAATTACGAACTAGAGAACTGACTTCAAGAGAAATATTTTAATTGCTTGTTTGTATTCTTGATAACCTGCAATTAACTAGAAAAACAACTGAAGTGCAATGATAACAAAGCAGTAATTATTCAAATATAATTTTTCATTCATTTTTCTGCAGGACGCCGAAGTCCTGTATCTCATTACCTGAAACACAGCAAACAGTCCTTTGTGCAGATACTGACACTGGACTCATGCTGACACAGACTGAATACCCAACTTCTATTTTTGTTGATTAACTAAATAAAACAAGGTTTAGGATGAAGTACCTTTTACCTCACTGCTTCTCTTTGCAGTTCAGCCTCTATGCTTTGTAAAAAGATTGAATTCAGAGTACACTGAAGATTAAAAAGAATGGGACTACATTGCCAAAAAAAAAAATCTGTTGAAAGCATACTGTATAAAAAACTTTTAAAAGCAACACCTTTCTCAAAGCTAATTTTAACTTTTTTTTTTTTTTTCTACAGAAAATGAGTATCTACTAAGCTGTGGTAAGTGCTGAATATTTTGCCCATTTCTTTTAGTCTTGATCCCTTTTCCACTCATGTTTGTTATGCCAAAAAAAAAAAAAAAAAAATTAAAAAAAATAGATGCAGTAAGTTGATGTAAGAAAAAATGCATCACAGCAAAGTCACAAGTGTCCTGCAAGCAAGGGTTCTAGTTTTGTTGACTGAGCACAGATTATTTCAAAACTCAGTATGCTTAATTAGACAAATTAGCAATACTTTTATTTAAATAATGACATACCTGCATAAAGAAGCTTTCGAATACAATGGATCTGCTGTGACACACATGCTACATATAGAGGTGTTCCTAAATGAGGAAGGTCTTGGTCAACATCTATACCCCAGGATATCAGTACCTCCAGACATTCACTGTGTCCTGTCAGTACAAAGCATAATAGTTGGTTCAGTAAGTTGGCTCAGACAAAGTGGGACTCCTTTCCTCACACTACATTATTGAGATATTTGTCTAATGCTTGTCTGTTGAGCATGTAATTTCCTACCTCTGCTGGCTGCTTCGTGAGTTGGTGATGGAAGACAGGACTCCCACTGAGCTTTGGCACCATACTCTAACAGGAGCTCAGCACATGCTGCGCTGCCTCTCGAACACGCGTTAAATAAGGGTGTCACTCCATCAATTGTTGTAGCATTTACCTAAAATATATAAAATCGAGGTAACAAAAAAATTGAAAGAAAAGTAGTTTTAAACAGAATATAGCTAGAAACTGCATGAAAATAGTGACAAACTTACTGGTTAGAATAAAATAGCTTAGCTGTTCAGTCCTTGCTCTGTTGTTCTCCCATCACCACACTCCTCAGTTTACTGTTGCTCTTGTTAAATTATGTTGAATGAAAGAAAATACACTTTGTATGCTGAAGACCACATATTATCATTTGGGCAGTAAATGACTTAATTTTCAGAAGTAATTGCACTTGGCTCTTTTCACTGATACAAAAAATCCACACCTCTTGTAGTAATGGGAACCTTCTCTCTGTAGCTTTAGCAGACTGCAAACTTCATATTAAATGTGGGAATTATTTGCCTTTCTGTGTTTTTAATCTCTCTGTTGGAGTGGTATTTCATGGAATGAGACAAGGCTAATAGGGAGAATGACTAGAAAGAAAAATTGTGATGATGCTAAAGGAAGGAACACAGGTATTTGGAGAGGGGAATCTCGCCAATCCTCTTACGTGCATCCTCTAAACCCACTCCAACCATGAAAAGCTAAAAAAAAGCAAAAATTGAGATATGAAAATAAAATTTGTTCTTATCGATTTGTAAGTAGTATCTATATATATTCTACATATATAGAATCCCTGCACCAGCTGAAGTGGACAGAGACTGCTTTTTGGAATGCATCTGTGTTTTTCTTATCTGTTACTTACACATATTCCAGATGTTTCCCAAAAGTGAATTGTTAGGACAATAAATATTCCATCACCAAGGTGGAATATCACCAATTACAACTGAGAAACTGTAACTGTTGGTGAATCTGATCTCAGCGCAAACTGTAGTAAAAATGGACTGTGAATTCTCACTTTCTGTTTGGGATAACAGGTAGAAAGTCTGTGTCATGAATACAGAAAAGAGTCAGTGTACTGACTCAGTGTACTCAGACCAAAGAATCTTAAGAGCATTCAGCACAATGTGACAAAAGTTATTCCAGAGATTAAAAGAACAGACTCGTGGAAGCCACTCAATGGAAATCAGCAAAGGAGAGATGCATTCAGAAGTTTAAAAGATAAATAATGCAATGAAATTCTGGTAACACTACTAGCAGATTCTGTCCAGTTGACTACGCTATCTCAGTTCCTTCCCAACTCCCATCTGTTTTCCCTGTTACTGTTCTTCTGTTTGAGATCTACTCTTACGTACTCGCTTAAGTAGTCTTTGTTTCATTTTTTCATTTAACCTAACATCTCTATACTGATGCTTCTTTGAGCCAAAACTTTCCTTTGCTAGCTTTCAGATGACAGCTTATTGTAATTAAGTCAATGTCATCAACAGAGTATAGAGAAATACCAATGTAAAAAAATAAATCAAGGAATATATCCTTCTTAGTTAAACCAAAGTTAGCATTGGACTTCATATACAAAAACACCCTTACATTTGCTCCTGCTTCAAGAAGGATCCTTGCACATCCTACATGATCTCCCAGGCAGGCTTCATGAAGTGGAGTTACTTGGTCAATAGTTAGTGTGTCTACATTGTAACCCTAAACAAGATATGAATGACATATGAAGATCGTATGAAAGCTGTTAGGTCACACTACTTACTATTCAAAGGAATAATTCATAACACTCTATTTGCAATAAATAAATCTTTAGTGAGCATATAAAAAAAATCTTTCATCAGTCAACATAGCAGAATCAAAGTTGTCAGCTCTTCTTTTTTAAAAATCAGAAATATTAGATCCTGGATGGGGCATAAAGGGGGTATAAAGACAGTGGAGCCTGACTCTTGAGATGCACAATAATCAGACAAAAGGCAACAGAAACAAGTGGTGAAATCCGATTAGTTGTATGGGAAAATATAATAATTTGGTATGGGGATGGTGGAACCCTGGAACAGGTCTGCAGAGAGGTTCGGGAACCTTTATGATTGGTAATCTTTAAAACCCAAAGAGGCTTCTGGGTTTAAATGGCACTGTGATTCTAAGAGTTAGAGTTCTCTGACTTAAGGGCTGAAATATCTAGAGACATCAGCTTAATATTAGCAAGGAGAATACTTCTTGGATTGATAAAAACATCAAACACTGGATTTTTCTGCAGTGGGTACTGTTCAACTCTTAGAAGCTAAAAATTGAATTCATCAATTTTATTCTTTACTGTAGGAGCTAATATGACTAATATTAACACACAGTGGTTTATAGTCTCTCCCTTTGCTGTTAACAAAACAATCTTTTTTTAATCACAACTGTGCAAAGAACCGGAATTTTTCAGTGCCTTCCCTCTAAACAAGTATCTTCCTGGCTAGCTATCTTTTCTGAGTGAAGCAGAGCTTTTGGACTAAATGATCTCTGTGGGTCCCTTCTGACTCGGGATGTTAAATGATTTTATGTATATTGATTCACAGGAGGAGAACACTGATATAGTTACAGCTTTGATAAAGATTGATTTTATGAAGCTTAAAACGTACAGATAAAATACTTTAAATACCAATTTATATCTTATTGTAACAAAAATTAGTAAATCTGTGTTGTTCTCAAAAATTCTGGTGAAAAAAAAGAAAGCAAAACATACTAAATCTGCATTAATGATTATGCTGAGAGATTAAGTAGCATTAAAAAGTTAAGCAATTTTAAGAACACAGCCTTCACCTGTGACAATAAAGTCTTTAGAGAAAGAAGACGTCCTTGACTGGCTGCCTCATGCAGAGGTGAGCGATCTGCCCAAGAACCTATGTAATAACAACATTTATTGAGTAAACCATGTGAATAAGAATGCTTTTGGAATGCAGAGAGCAAAGCAAGAAACATAATGCACAGAATGAAGTGAAATGTCCTGTGAAAATAATTCTTCCCCTGTAGAGACTGTATTTCAATTGATTTGTTCATAGATAAAGCTGTTATATTAACTGTAAGCATCTAAAATAAATGATTACATAGAACAAAATATTGATATATTGATTTTAATAATATGATGCAACAGATGCATTTCACCATATTTTTAACTCTATTTTTCATTATTTATTTTTAATTATCTTACAATTTATTTTAGCAGCTGGCAAGTAAGTTTACAGGCTTCAACAAATTGATATTTAAACCAAAAACGGATATAAACCTGCCTGAAAAAGTGCTGATAAAACTGAAGTATATGAAATTCAATTTGGAAATCTCCACGTACAACAAGATTCATTTCAAGCTACTACACATGTACAAGAGAAATACAGTGAGAATCATAGTACAAAAGGTTGCTATAGAAGAAACAGGATATTATGTTCTCATCTTGATAGGCTGTTAGCACTAAGAATAAGAAGTTATCCTTAATGCAAAAGCTTGTATTTATTGCCAGGACTCACCACCCTCAAGAAAGGACAAAAACAAAAATAAAACTCACAGTATCTCTCTATCTCATGCTGTCCCAACCCTTACCTCCAACCCAACCCCAGAGTCAACCAGTGGTTCCTGTTGAAGAGCCTGTCCTTTGCTATAGAAGGCTTGCTGCTGATAGGATCACAGGCAAAGCTGATACCCATTTTTTGTATTAATTTTGCAAATTAAGTTCTGAGACCATGTAAGAAAGAATCATCTTCAAAGTGTATTGTGAATTACTGATACTTATAAGAAGAAATTACTGGGAATGTAAAGATGCTAATTCAATTACTCACGTGAAACCTGTAGCTCTCTGAATCTTTCTGACACTGACAGAGACTTTATTCTTGTCTAGCTGTCTGGAATGAATGCTAGAGCTTGGTCTAGGACTTATTTTGCTATTACTGTTATGTTGAAATCATACAAAATGTGTTAAATAGTGTAATTCTCACTCAGTTCATTTTCCTACACCATTTTTTTCTCTGTTGTAATATTTTTTTCAGAATGATGTGCACTAAGCTCTGATAATCTCTGTGTGTGTGCTCACTCTGTGCATTCTCACAAACATTGTTCCCTATGGTTTTTATTTCTAGTAGGAAAAGTTAAAAAAACATATACAAATTGTTTGGAATTGTAAGGGATTTTAAACAACAACAACTGAGTTCAGAAATCATACTGACCCGATTTTTACAAAATAACAATAGTTTTTCAGTGCTATCTACCATAGAACCAGCACTCACGTTGCTCTAATTAAAATAAAATAAGATTCATTAAGTTCTCCTGCTGGCAGTTGCAAAATTCCTAAAAAATTATTGAAGACTGCATTAATGGTTCCCTTTGAACTTTCTTCCTTATCTCCATACATGAGATTTTTTCTCAGTGGTTATTTAGCCTATTCATAAATTAACAGGAGGAAAACAACAACAAAAAGAAAACCCTGACACTTAACTATCGTATAGAAAAACATCTAGTAAGATTGTAAACATCATTAATTCTTTTCATCCATTAAGTATAAATATACTTAGGACATTTTTGTGTGTGTGTCCATGTATAACTATCAGAACAAAGATGCAGACAGAATGTGAAATCAACTTTGTTTCCACCTTTCATTCCATCTTCTTCTTCCCCCATAGAATGCTCTGAAGAACATCTGTTAATATAATTATTAAAGTGACATCTGAAATTCAGTGATGCCAGATCCCACTCTGAAGTCTGTATTGCATCTACACCCACCTTATCTCCCTGCCCTCACACAGAGACATCAGCAGCTGGCTGCTAAAACCTTTCAAATCTAAATGCTTGCACCATCTCTATTAGAATAAAAATCTTTAAGCAAAGTACTGCAGAAAAAAATTGTGCAAATCAGGCTTGGGAAAAGCTTCCACATTCCTACTGATTTATTGGTAAACATAATAATTAACCATGAAATACCACAGAGATGAAAATATGTTCAAAATAAACATGCAGCATTAATAAACATCAGATTTGTTTTAAAATAAATTTTGTATCGAGATTGCTGCCTTCTGCTATTCTACAACCTTGCTAAGCCTCTTATTTAAAAAGCATCAACAAGAGTATAAATGAAGAACTGTTTCAATTCAGCATTGTCTGTGACAGCAGAATTAGTAATATAGTCTATTCCAAAACTGTTCATTTATTAAGTACCTACTGGTGCAGTTTCTGACAGATGCTGAGTATGTTGAATACAAGGCATCTCTAACTTTATTTACCACTAGCCACACTAGTCCCAAGTTCTCTGGCGTTCATTCAGGAAGTGCAGCCTACATTACTTTGTAAACTCTAATAAGGAAAGAATAAATAGACTAAATAGAATAAATAGACTCATTGTATTAATGGGCAAAGTTAAAAATAAATTAATTACAAATTATCATACAATACCTAAATCTCCATCTCCCCATGGTACTTCCAAACAATTGCAATTATAAATCCTACTCATTTCTTTCAATCTGGAAAAAAAAAACAATAAATTTAAATAAACCCATTCTTGCTAGCTTGGCCTGTTCTTAATACATTCCTACTGTGTTTGGAAGGAGATCGGCGGCTGACTGTAATACGAACTTTCACCCTGCCATAAACACAGCTCTGAAGATATGAGCATATGGAGTTGCCAGTTTCTTTTCTTACACCAGAGGACAGTGACCTCTTTTTTTCTTTTTTTTCTTTTTTTTTTTCCCCCACATTTCTTTTTTTAATTAACTTTGAAAAGTGCCAAAAATCTAGGGGAAATGCTGCCAAATATTCCATAAGATATTTTACTATTTGCTGAGCTATAGAAAGGAAAGAAGCAGAGATCTTCTGAATATGATTTAAATGATACTTGATCTACACACTTGACTGGGTTTTTATTTCAGCAGTTCACTGTGGTCTGTTATGTTCTTAATAATTCTCGTGTTGTTAAACTGGGTTTTTGGTAACTACTCTAAGCAGTGAAAGACTCAGTTCACTCCCAAAAATGGGAAAGTTCTGACTTTGATCCATTTCTAAGCCATCAGTGTTATTTTCTTCATTTTCCTATAGCCTTCACATCTACCCTGTTAGCCTGTATACATGATGACAGTAATAAAATACCTACAGTATTTTAGAAAAAGTCATTAAAGTCATTAGTTGCAGTCATTCCATCCCTTTATTTCTAAAGATTTGCGCAGTCTTTGGAAAAAGAGTAGGAAAAAAAAAAAGAAAGAAAGAAAAAAGAAATGAAAACAGGAGCTTTCTCACAGTTCATCACTGAGATGAAAACCACGGACTCTTTGAAAACTCTTGCTGATAATATTTATTTCTGCAAAACTAACAAAGATTAACTATTTATTGTGCTCATTCCTGTTACCTTTCTGTTTGTGGCAACAGCTACAGATATGATCAATATCTACTACATTGAAAATACCCTGTAGCAGTACAGTACAAAGATCAAAGGACTCACTTTGCTCCAGTTGATAAGACATCCTGGCATTTCATACATGTAATTAAGTTGTACCAGATTTTTACTGAAGCACTATTTACATTAAAACTGTCCAGTAAAATAGAACTGTGTCAACTACTTAATTGATTTTTGATACTAAAAATCTATTGAAAAGAATATTAGTATTCTAAGCCGAGCCTTTAAAAGCTAGGAATTCCATCAGTGATGCTTAACTAATATGAATAGATCTGACCAGCTGAATGGTAGCCACCTCTTTTTAATAAATGAAATTCCAACAATCAACACTGAAATATTCCAAAAGGATCAGAAATTAGGTTAGAGATAAAATATATTTGAGAAAGAATATAAAGCTCAAACACCATTTAAGTTTTTCACTTCAATATTTTGAACTGCCTTTGCTTTAATTTGACTTTATATGTTACAATAATATATAAGTATACGTACATAAGCATGTAAATATACACATACACAACAACAACAACAACAACAACAAAAGAATGGAAGAGAAGGGAAGAGAAGGGAAGAAAGAAGAAGTCCTGACTGATCCAAACCAATATTCTTTGTGGAGATTTAATTCCAGAGCCAATGCCAGCAGTATCCCACTCTTGAAAACCATGCAAAACAAAATTTCTTTCCACAGTTCAAGAATGTACATTATTTTCACCATTCTGGTGCTATACTCAATGAATAAGTTATATCTCCATGTCTAACAGGATAGCTACCCCCATATTGGTTACGTTACAGAAATGGTTGGTAATTTTGTATTTCCTTTTTCATAGTATTCTCCCAGTATCATAAAAATATTTTGAAACCCTTATTATGAAACCCTTCATAGCATCATCCATTCATGTGATTTTATAACTAAGGAACCAAAACACAGAATCTTAAGGCTCATTTTATAAAACTAATCTGATAGCATATTTTTTCCAGAGTGCTTAGGTACTGGAGTATGCATTGAAAGTTTGGCTTAATTATGCTTATAAGAGCACTGAACTGGCTTAGGTAATAATAATCATGATCCACCAAGAAAGTTCCAGTTTTGATGACCGGTCTTGAAACATATAGTGGCCATGGCAAAGAAATAAATAGAATTTTCTTTTAGAGACAGGGCACAAAGAAGTTAAACCTTTTTTCTTGTGGATTCCTACCATTCAACTACGTGCTTTCCAACCTTTGGAACCTACAAGAATATATCTCCATATATAAAACTAACGCTCTCACAACACCATCCATGTGGCACATCACAGAAGGAGCTCTGTGGAAAAGTACGGCAGGTGACCATGTCATCAAGCGCTACGTTATAATGCATTAGAAAATCAAATCAGCGTGGCACAACCAAGACTGCTTTTAACAGTTCCTAATTGAGTGCTTGGCATTGCAGATCAACAAACTTTACGCACCGAAACATCAGCCACTAAACTGTTTTTAAATCCTATTGGAAAAAAAAAAAAAAAGAAGAAGAAAAAAGTGCCAACAGAAGCAATGTTATACTACGTGAAGGCAGTGGTAGTGACGATGGCAGCAGCAGTTGTTGCTGCAGGCTCTGTGCCAGACCTTGAACACAGAGGAAGAAGCATGTCAAGCCCCTTCTCCTGTCACATTAGAGCACAGCAACAACTCCCCTGTCTGTTACTCATGCACAGTTCATATTTTCTGTTTTCCTGGAGGATCAGCAGCTGGCTGGATATTTTTCTAGTCTTAAGTAGCTTGCAAACTCTATGTGCTGTATCTACAGCACCACCATCTAAAACCAAATTAACCTTTAATAGGGTAATCTTTGGAAGCCGTTGAACCCACATCAAGCTTGATTTAAATGTGTGGAGCAGCTGGCAGCGTGCTAAGACTGCTATTGTTTCCTTAGACTAAAACCAAGAGTTTTGCAGTAGACTAGAAGCTGAGAGGGGAGGAATGCTGACAGTCTGAGCTGACCTGAGGTTTTGGAGGATTTCTGCCTGAAGTAATTTTGCTCCTCAAACACAGTCTTAGCCTCAGTCCAGACTGAAAACCATTTTCCCCAAGGTGTGCTCAGATTTATCTGTATTTCCCCAGTGTGCCAGACGAAATGCAGTATGTGGTATAATTCCTAGCCATAAAGGCAGAATTCTGCTGTCTAGCAAAGCTGGGGTACCACACCATGAATAGGTTTTCTGGCATCCAGGAGATTTTGCTAAAATAGTCTGTTTATGGACCCTCGTGCTGAAAATCTTTTAATAGCTTGGCTCCACCTTTTCTTCCACTTCTGCCAGATCTTATTGTGACATATTCCCCCTGCTATCCCATCACTTCTAGACCATTTTTCAACTTGTGTATTTTGTGAACTGATACACGACTTTGTTCTGGGGAGAACAGAATCTGATTTGGATAGCCCCATAGACAAAGAGGAAAGAAAAGTGCATCCTTCAGATTTGGTATTAGATACATTTGTTATTCAACCAGAAGCACTGATTGCAACAGTAGTCTCTTGGTATTTCAAGTTGTCAACCAATACATACACAGGTGTGTTTTGTCAGTCACAAAGAGGCTTCAAGTAGCTGGACCACATTAAGCTGGTATCTTCAGAAATTTTTGCTTTCTGTATTTTGCAGCACTTCTGAATTTTTCAAAACTTGGCTAACGGGGGCTAATTCTTTGTAAGAATGGGAAAGAGCCCAACCCTGAGCAAGGAACATCTAGAGCCAATGTTTTAGACAGAACATTCATAAAATTTCGTTTCAGTCTTGTGAAGAATGTCCTTGTTTTTCTGGAAACTGGCAACTAGATGAATCATTCGCATGTATCAGATACAATAGATTGGGAGACCTTCACCCACATGGTGAACAATAAGAAAGTAAGTGGTACACTGCATATTAACCAATCAATAACTGTAACAGGATCGTTGAACTCAAACAGCTACTTGGAAAGCTATGGTCATTGTTTCTTTAACTCTTGAATACTGCTTAGTTTAGAACTGACAGTCCTGAAAAGGTATTCTTATAACATATACCTATGTTTTCAATGGTAAATTCATAATTATTCTTATGTGTACTATAATCAAGTTTCTCTTTCCTCTCTCCTGTGCCTTTAATTCTCTTCTTTACTTGACTATTTTAACATCTCCACTTTTGAAACACTGTAATTTGATATCATAATATCAACAAAATCACTCCCCCCCCACTCCTTTTTTTTTTTTTTTTTTCTTTTTTCTTTTTTTTTTTTTTTTTTTTTTTGCCTCACTCAGCTTCAGGTTATGGTCAATATAGGACTATGATCACTTTAAAAAAAAAAATTCCTATTAGGCTTTAGACTGCCACAATTATTCAAAGATCCCCTTTACACACTTGTAATATGAAAAAAAGAAAAAAGAAAAAAGAAAAAAGAAAAAAAAGAAAAATACTGCTCTGATAATAGCAGTCCAAAGCAAATATTTTATAGCACAGTTCATTTTCCATTGCTCCAAATGTCAGTGCTCCGTAATTTAATTTCATCATAAGTATTTCACTGTGCAAACCCTTATATTTATAATTTTGTCCTTAGTACCTCAGTACAGAACACAATAATTCTGTCACCTGTAGTTCTTACATTGTCTCCTGTTTCATTTACCTATAAACTGTTCTTTATATATAAAGTTACTCGTTCCCCTTTCATTCTCTGTTTCTCCCTCGTAAACAATTAGCTTTCAGTATCCAGTTACCTTGTGGCAGGAGAGGAAAAGTCAGGGTAAGTCAAGCCTTAAACACATAAAACAAATAGGGCAGATAAACATGAAAAGGTATTTTAGATCAGCTGATATGAGTGCAGAAAGAACAAAAATAGCTTCAACACCCTTGTGTTAACCCCAGCAAGACAACAGAGTGCCGTTAACATAAACATGCATTTATATTACAGCTGGAAAGAAAAAGCACAGAACAGTTCAGAGCAAGAATATCACAAATTAGCTCAGTTTAGCATATTTCCGTACCATTTCTGAAATGGCTGCTGTACTAACCTTGGCTGGTCAGAATACCCCAGCTAGATTTTCGTTTTGCAGGACACTCCCCTATACTTTCTAGG